GAGTTAACTGCCAGTATACTGCCTGCCAACCTTGAACTCCTCAGCCCCTGCAGCTGCGTGAGTCAGGAAAAGCTTCCAGCTTGACGTTTGATCCAAGAACTTTGGACTTGCCAGCTTCTATAAGCGTGTGAACCATTTTCCTAAGATAAATTTCCCTTTCTCTCCTTATATAAGCTTTACTGGTTTTGTTTCTCTAGAGAACCCAGTCTAATAAGGATGACTTAAGCTTATTTTCCTGAAGGGCCAGAAAATAGTCTCTCACCAAGATATATTGTTGTTAGCTGCCATCAAGTCAATTTCAACTCATAATAACCTTATGTGACAGAGTAGAACTGCCCATAGATGTTTTTTATTTATTTTGTTGAACATTTTCTTATGGCTTAGAAGAAAGTTTACAAGGCAAATTTGTTTCCCATTCAACAAGTTATACATAGATCTGTTTCTTGACATTGGTTACAATGCCCTCAGTGTGTCTGCACTCTCCCCACTTTTACACTGGGTTCTCCATTTCCATTCACCCAGCTTTCCTGCCTTCTGAATATAACTTTTGGGCAAATGCAGCCCTTTTGGTTTCATATAGTTGAATGTTCCAAGAAGCATGTTTCTCACGGGTGCTACCGTTCACTTTATAGGCCTGCCTATTATTTGGCTGTGGGGTGGTCTCTGGGAGCGGGTTCAGTTCTACGTTTGAAGTGTGTCTAAGGGGATACAGTCTCAGGGAATCCACTAGTTTCTATCAGCCCATAGGGTTTTCTAGGCTGTAATTTTTCCAGAAGCAGACTGCTAGGTCTTTTCTCCTTTGGAGCTGCTAGGTAGGTTCGAACTGTTGACAATTGTCTTAGCAGCCCAGTGCTCCTTTGTGCCTAGGGCTCCTTCACCAAGACATACCACTGTGTAATTTCACAACATTGGAGACAAGGAGAAGATTTAAAAAAAAAAAAACAAAAAACTAATTTCCATCAAGTTGATTCTGACTTGACTCACAGCAACCCCTGTTAGGTTTCCAAGGCTGTAAATTTTTATGGAAGAAGACTGCCTCATCTTTCTTCAATGGAGTGGCTAGTGGGTTCAAACCACTGACCTTTTGGTTAACAGCCAAAATGCCTTAAACACTACACCACCATAGATCTTTAAGGGGAAGGTCAGATAGAGGCAAAAAGTCACAAAGAATAAGAATTCAAAAGGCTTCAGACTTCTCAGCAGTAATAATGGAAGCTAGAAGATAATGTAGCAATGCCTTCATAATTCTGAAGTGATTTCTATCTTATTCAATACTCTGCCAAACAATCAATCAAGTGTCAGGGCAGAATAATGGTAATGTCAAACATTCAAAGTTTCAAAACAGTTTATTTCCCAAGTACCCTTTCTCAGGATGTGTCTAGAAGATGGTCTCCCCCCAAAAAAGAGGAGTAAATCAAGAAAGAGAAAGACATGGGATATGATAGATAAAAGATACAACAAAGGAAAGAGGCAAAGAAAATGCCCAGGAGGATGTGAAAGGAGATACTAAGATACCAGAATTTTATAGAATTAAATTTGGCAGATAGTAATTGTGGTAGTTAAAGTTATATGTCAGTTTGGCTGGGCCTGGTTTTGAGTGGCTGGGCAGCTGGTTGTAGTTATTCCCCATGATGAGACTGTCAATCAACTCCATGGTGGGATCTGCCGCGAGCAGCTGAGTAGCTGTTTTAGGGATGTGGTCTGTTTCTCATATATAAGGAGAAGCTGTGGGCATGATCTGCAGCTTTTGGCATGCTTGGACCCTGGATGTAGCCAAGTCTTCATTTAGCAGCCTGCTGTGTTTTCTTGCCAATCCTGGGACTGTCTCTGGGACTTGAACTAGTGGCCTGCTCTGTTGTTTGGTAATATTGGGACTGTGCCACTTTATTTGCTGACCTTGGGCTTGTTAGCCTCAGCAGCCAGCAGCTGTCTGAATGAAGAGACACCTCTAGCTCCAGTGGGCCAGGAGCAAGAGGCAGAGCTGAAGCCCAAGGTGAGGGGGCTTTCACTCAGCCCCTAGAGCCTGGCACTTTGAACTCAGACTTCTAGCCTACTACACTGTAAGAGAATAAATTTCTGTTTGTTAAAGCTGTTCACTTGTGGTATTTCTGTTAGAGTGGCATGAAGTAACCAAAACAGTAATGATGTATAAGTGATGGGTGAAGGGGAAGAAAAAAGAGCTAAGTCCTGTTATTTGTGGAGCTGGGGCAAGACTACAAATGGAGACTCACATTCTGTATGTCTAACTATTTTAGGGTTATAAGTTATTGTAAACAATTATATTAAGAAGCCTGGTGGTGGGACAGTTAAGTGCTCACCTACTAACTGAAACATTGGTGGTTTGAATCTACTCAGTGGTTCCATGGGAGAAAAGCAAGTTGCTCCTGTAAAGACTAATCTAGAAAGTCCTATGGAGTAGCTCTACTGTGTCACACAAGGTCATTAACTGTGAAATAAAACATGTTCTAAATTCCTAATTTACAAATATACCTTCATGAAGACTTAGAAGGCCAAGTTCAAAATTAGAAACTTAGAGTTCCATACTAGAAAATGGTAGCCCCCAGGCTTTGGCTTGATTCCTTTTCCTTCTGCCCTTGGCTCTGTCCTCCACTGAGAGCCTCACACAGGGTCCAGTTGGTACTCACACCTCTCCCTGCAAACAGAAGGGCTTCTGTTCAGGCCTAGAGATACCCACACCATCAGTAAGGTCTCCTGGGGAGGTGAGATCCAAGGAAGAAGTGGGTGTAGCTCCAGGAAGAAGGCCGAGGCCTATTTGGGCAGGGAACTCCAAGGTCCCAGGTACTCAAAATATGGTCTAGTAGGGAGTAGGTGTAAGAAGCTCTGGTGGAGCATCATCTGCTAACCAAAAGGTTGGTGGTTTGAACCCACCAGCCACTCCACAGGAGAAAGATGAGGCAATCTGTAAATATTTACAGCCTTGAAAACCCTATAGGGCAGTTCTACTCTGTTCTATAGGTTTGCTGAGTCGGAATTGACTCAATAGCAGTGGGTTTCGGTTTTAGGGAGTAGGTGGGCTTAGGATGGGCCTATCCTCTTGAACTTCTTACCCTGTGGGGCGGGACACAGCTGGAGATGGGGCACAGATATGGAGGAAAACGCTAAAAAAGCTGAACATGAGCTCTCTGCGGAAGGGAAGATGATGGAGGCAGGACTCTGCTGTTTTCCTATCAAAATATGCATCTGTGTATTCTATAAAATTCCTAATTATAAAAAGAAAATCATTAAAAAATAAAAAAGTAACTGATAACTATGTATGGAACTTCTGAGCCACTTTTGCTATGCCAAGAGTTCTCATTAATAGTCTGAAAACCACAAGACTAGGCATTTCTTTAGGAGCTCTGGTAGCATAGTGCCTAAGGCACTTGACTGCTAACCAGAAGGCTGGCAGTTCAAATCCCCTAGCCACTCCTCAGAAGGAAGGTTGGGCAATCTACTTCCATAGTGATACTGCCTCGGCAACCCAAGGAGAGGTCGCTGAGTCAGGTCCAACTCGACAGCACATAACAACAGGCATTTCTTTAAGGACCCCTGGTGGCACAATGGGTAAGCACTGAGCTGGTAACTAACGGATAAGCAGCTTGAACCTACCAGTCTCTCCTGAGGGAAAAGCCCTGACCATCTCTGCACCCATAAAGATTACAGCTTAGCAAATTCTATGGGGCAGGTTCTACTCTGTCATATAGGGTGGATATGAGGTGGAATCAACTAGATGGCACAAATAACAGCATGGACTTCATTTGGGGCCATCTCTGGTGGCGTAGTGCCTAAGGCATATGATTGCTAACCAGAAGGCTGGTGGTTCAAACCCACCAGCCACTCCTCAGAAGGAAGACTGGGCGATCTACTTCCATAGAAGATACCACCTCAGAAACCCAAAGAGAGGTCATTATGAGTCCAATGGACTCCAAGGCAGTGAGTTTGTTTTTTTTTTTGGTTTTGTAGTACTGTTGTGATTGAAGCTATAAGGAAATTTCTCTCTACAGCAGACCCAAGAATGACAGGCCCCACTTTCCCTTTGTTACATTTAATTCACAACTCCTACTTTGTATTCATTGTTCTCCTACCTTCCTCTGCCAGAGCCTAAGCTCCTTGCAAGCAGGGACCCAGCTCAGTTCTTTGTATCCTGGGAACCAAGCATGGCACCAAGTGCTTAGTACAGACTCAGATGAGTGTTGATGAATGAAAGAAAAGGGAAGCATCTTTGAAGGGAAGGTGTACAATTCTTTTCTCCACCCTTGTACCTGGAACCCTCAGTAGCCTGAGACCTGTAGCTTATCCCTTAAATAGCTTTTTGCTAGTTTCCTTATCTGCGCAACATACTAATATTTACTTCGCATTTTCAATTCCTATAAAAGATGGAGCTTTCTTCGAGTTCACGGAATGAGTCAGATCCCAAAAGCAGTAACTTCAGGTTCACATGAGAAGCACGTGTGCGCTCCATGCGGGCAGGGATTTCTCCTTTAAAAAACCCCAAAAAGCCTGCTGTATGCTTAATGTCTGAACAGTTTCTGGCACATAATAGGTGCTCAATAAGTATTTGTTGGATGGACGAATCCATTGAAAAGTTCTAAAAATACGCATCAAATTAAAAAATGCTTGGTGAAAAGTAAAGATAGCCCTATGTACGAAATGATGATGCTGCAGTCCAGACCTGATCCTTGGTGCGAGCGCTCGGGATCTAGCCTGTCCAAGCGCCCATGCAGGGCAGACGGGCCTGCCGAGCTGGGGAAACCAGCGGTCTAAGGTCTGGAGTCGGCAGGCGAGGAAGGCGGGAAGGCTGGGGAGTTGCAGACGTGCTAGTTTGTTGGCCCCAGACCCGTGCTCCGCGCGCCTTTGTTCAGCTTGGTGTGGGCTGCCCAAGCTGTCAGTCAGAGCCCTGGAGAAGGCACTCCCCGCCTCCCAGGTGGGCGGGCCCCGGACCCAGACGGCCAGGGGGCGTGGCTTTGTTCTCCGTGCCGGGGCGGGGCGGGGCTGGGACCGGGAGCACCGGGCCCGGTTTGAGGCGCGACTCGCCGGCGGGAGTAACCGGAGCCCCGGCCAGGAAGGGGTGCGATTCCCCACTGGCCCCACCTTCCCGGCTACGGCCAGGCCAATCAGAACGGCTTTTACTGGCTTGTGGGCCGAGCCGGCCCAGCTGCTCGGAGGCTCTGGCATGGTAACGTCCCTGCGCGGGGGTGGAGAGGCCCGGGGCGGTCCCACAGCGCCCCCTGCGGCCCGGGCCGGGGGCGGGGGTCCGGAGAGGTCACCGGGGATACCCCAAGACCCCAGGGAAGGGCGGAGGGAATGAGGGGTTAGAGAGAGGAGCGAGGGAGGGGGATGGGGCGAGGATTTGGGGGAGAAGGGGCGGGGGAGGCCATGATGGAGGATGAACGAGGGGGAGGTGGTGGTGAGGGAATTGAGAATGCCGAGTGTTGCGGGATGGGTGAGGAGTAGGATGGGAAGAAGTAAAGGGTAGATTTGTAGAAAAAGGTCAGGAAAGAAGAGAGGAGGCAGATGTGGGACCGCGGGACAAGGGGAGAGGTGGGGACCACAGTTTTCCCTCCTGGAATATTTAGCGGGCCACATGTCCCTCCCTCGGACCCAGTGCTTGCTCCCTCAGGAAGCCTTTGAGTGTCCCTTAAGACCACTTGGGGACCCCTCCATTTCCCCGCATTTGCAAGACATTGTTTCATGAGGTGAGGAAGGGGCTACTGGGGAAAGGATCCCATCCCCACCCAATTCTTGGTGATTAAAGAAATGGAAATGCAGAGGCCCTTTGGTCCAGGCCTCTGCCATCAACAAACTGTAACAAACTGTGTGTGACCTTGGGCAAGTCACTGCCTTTTTTAGGCCTCGGTTTTGCATTGATTAAAAAAAAAAAAAAAAGGAAATGGAATGGAAATGATATTCCAGATCTCTTCCAGCTCTCCAAAATGAGGTAATTCTTGAGGGAGTTCAGGAGTAGGGGTTCTAGGACATTGGAGAAGCAAAGGAAAGAAGGATGAAGATGGAAATCCCCAGGGATGGGGTAGGGATGAAAGGGGATGGTGGGCACAAAGCCTACAAAACTGGGGCCGGCTAGCCTTGGAGTTCTGCTGGAGGGTGGAAGGAGAACTCCAGGAGTAGAAGAGGAGGTTGAGTCCTAACTGAAGAAGCAGGAAGACCAGAAGTAACATTCTGTCCTGCAGAGGGACTGTGATGAAGGGTGGCAGGATCAGAGGGGGTCAATGGGAAGATATTTTCTAGTAAGGCAGCCAGTATCCTTGGGGAGCAGAAAGATTAGTAAGGCTGATAAAGAGGAGTGGAGACTAGGATGGCCTTAGAAATAGGGGCTGAGCTATGTGGGGCAGCTGACCTAAGGCAGCAGGTAGATAGATCACAGGGTAATCAGCTGGCCCTCAGCCTCCATGAAGCATTTTTTTTTTTTTTTTAAGTGATGTTTATCTCTTTATGAGAGATGTACCTCTCAGCCTTCATGTCAATACAAATCCCTTCAAGGGGTGAGTGAGACCAGGTTTACTGTAAGATTACCTGGTTTTCTGAGGATTTCAGAATTGTTTAAGGATTGGGGTGAAAAGAAAATGGGAATGAATTTGAGTGTATGAAATCTCTGTGGTACTACTGTCCTTGATGGGAGGCAGCTCTGTGGAGTAGTTGAAACATAGGCTTTGGGGTCAGACTTCTTGGATTCCAAACCTCCTCTACAGTTTGTTTAATGTCTTGGAATCTTGGGCAAGTTACTTAATCTCTCTGAACCTCAGTTTCTTTATCTGTAAAATAGGGATAATAATAACCTCTAAGATGATTGTGAGGATTAAATGAATATTTGGCAAGATATCTGGCTCATAATAAGCATTCAGTAAATACTAGTTACTAGATGTCATTATTTCCTTTTCCCGTTCTCTTTCTTTTTTCTCCCCATTCTTATCCTTTTCCTCTTTTGTTCTTTCTTCTGAATCCTCAATTCTGTGATGCCTCTTAGATGTGGAGGCTGAGAAGAATTGATTGCTTCTTGGGGGTGAGGTGCTTTCACTGGTCAAGGTGAACACACGATGTACAAGCAGTTGTCTCTGCCCAGCCCACAGTGTGTTCTTGTTCCAGGGAAGACATAGGAGCTGCTGTTGTAGCTCCTTTTCCGTTATTCCTCTCTCATACTGCTTACTTCATATTCCTACACAGAAGTGTAATAAGGTCTGAAGTCATACTGGCACCACAGCAGGTGGGGTAGGGGTAGGGGTGTTTCAAGAAAGAAGGAAGGTTCACACAGCACAGGAGGAGCACAGGAAAAGGAGAGCTTTGGATGTCCCATGGTAATTTACATATATCCCATGGCTCTATTGTCTGTAGGGATCTGTCCAAAATAAACCAGTGGCTGGATCTCTGCCAGTGGTCCCCATCCCAAGTTGGAGATGTCGTATACAGTTGATTTTATATTATCTACAAGTATACTTTTCCATACCAGTATTTGATCTCAGTTCCCTTTCTGCAGCCACACAGACCTCCCAAGCTGCTCATCTCATTAGCCTGTGTTCAGATAATTCATACAAATGTACATGGGCACTCATGTTTGTCTGTTTTAGGACATTCCAGTGTGCAAAAATCTAATAAAGTTAGGGGTGATTCTGCATTTGATCACAGCATGTTCAGGGCCCTGACTAGGTACTCAGGGAAGGAGGACACTCAGTCCCTGATTGTAGAGAAATCCCCACCTGAGTAGGGAGAGAAGCAGTCGTACCTGAAACACCCAGAAAATGTTCACAGAGGAGCATGTCATTCTGTGCATGCATTTATCCTGAAGGAACTCAGGTAGGAGTGTGTGTGTGTGTGTGTGTGTGTGTGGAATAGTCATAAAGAAAACCTGAAGGAGGTGAATATTGGATCATCTTGAAGAAAGTAAGACAAAATGGAATAAAAGAAACATGGGAGTAATCTAAATGCCCGTGCAAAGAGGAGGGAAGCCATTGAGTCAGAATGAGTAAAGAAAAGTATAACAAAAAAAACTCAACTGCCATTGAGTGGGATCCAACTCATAGCGACCCCTCCTTGGGTTTCCGAGGCAGATTGCCCCATCTTCCTTCCGAGGAGTGGCTGATGGGTTTGAACCGTCAGCCTTCTGGTTAGCAGTCAGATGCCTTAGACACTATGCCACCAGAGCTCCTAAAGAAAAAGTATAGGGTAGAACTTTGTTGAAAGTCTTGAATGCTAGATGAGAGGTTCTGTAAGGTGGGTAATAGGGAGCCACCATCGGGTTTCAAACAAGAAAATGTTGATACTTGTTGATTTTTCCATATGGGTTTCAAGGAATATACTAGAATAAAAAACAGACTTTCTATGACAGGGACTGTGCTTTAAGGGAAGAGGACTAGAGGGCAAACTGGATCCAGTCTTGCCTCGATCCCCAATCAGCTGTGAGATCTCAGACTGATTTTCCCCCTAAGCTTTCTCATCTAAAAAGTGGGGGCTGCTTTGGTCGGTCCCTCCAGCTCTGACATTCTGTGTTTCCAGCATAGCTACTAGGCCTTACCAATGGCCCTCTCCTATGTTTTGTGGGACCTGGCAAGACTGTTTTGTCACTTAGTTAACAAATATTGATTAGTCCTACTGTGTGCCAGTAGGGAGTGGTGAGGAAAATGTAATGGAGCTATTCTATTAACATGAGTGAAAATAAAGTCTCTGCTTTAAGAGTTTTCAGTCTAATAGGGTGGCACTATTTCATTGATTCTGAGTTTCACATTTTAACATTTCTGAAGTAAGAATGCATCGTAGAATCGATGAGGTATCATAATTTAATTGTTGTTGTTGTTGTTATGTGCCGTTGAGTCAAACCCGACTCATAGCGACCCCTCCTTGGGTTTCCGAGGCAGTATCACTACGGAAGTAGGATTGCCCAACCTTCCTTCTGAGGAGTGGCTGGTGGGTTTGAACCCAGCCGTCTGGTTAGCAGGCAAGTGTCTTAGCCACTATGCTACCAGAGCTCGTTTTTTAATAGTACCACATAAAATAGTACAATTAGTATGTTAAAAAAAGGCTTGATTAACCCAGTGGGTTGGGAAAGGCTTTCCTGAGGAAATGATGATTGCTAGGAGATGTGCATGTTATGTAGATGAGGTGTGTAGAGTTGAAGAGAAGACTGTCCCGGGCAGAGGTAGGTGTCTGAAGCAGAATGACAGAAGGTCAGTGTGACTGGGAGCTCAGTGTGGGTGAGGCCGGTGAGACAGATGGGGAGCGGACCCCACAGAGCCTTACAGGCCCTGGGCAGAATCTTTGGTTTTCACTCTTAGAACAATGGGAAGCCGTTGAAGTTTTAAGCAGGGAGTGAGGTGGTCTGATACGCATTTTGAAGAGCTTTTTATAGCTGCAGGTTTGGAGTGGATGTGGGGAGACCAGTTGGGAAGCTGTTGTAGTAGGTCAGATTGAAAAATGGTGATGTCTTGAACAAGAGAGGTGTTGTTGGAGGAGGTAGAAATGGAGAGAAGTAGATGGATTCAAATCTTTGGGAGGTAAAATGAGCAGGACGCAGTGATAGATTGGTGATGAAGAAGGTGGTAGGGAGAGTGGCTCACAGTTTTCTCTCTTGGACACCTATAGGGATGGTGGTGCCAGACTCTGAGATGGGGAAGCCTGGAGCTTGGTAGGACCCCAAAGATGGGTTACGTAGGATCTGGGAGGTTATACAAATGATAGAATACTGTACACGCACTTTGCTGCACCTTGTTTTCTTCCACTTGATGATGTATCTTAGAAATTGTTCCACTGAGATACTGAGCATCTTCATTCTTTTTTTTTATGACTATGTAATATTCCATTTTATGTGTGTATATAATTTTATAGTTATAGTCCTTTACTGATAGATACTTAGGCTGATTCTAAACTTTTGTTGTTATAAATAATGCTGAAATAAAACCTTGTACACATATCATTTTGCCCATGTGGGGCTATATGTATAGGATGAGTTAAGTGGAATGGTCTTTATAGAAAACATTTGTTCATTCACTACTTCCTTTGGTATTTACTGAATAGCTGTTATGTGCCAGATGCTATACTAGGTGCCAGGAATCCAGTTGCCAATGTATCAGATATGATCCCTGCCCTCATGGAATGGTGGTGGTGGGGTACACATATGAAGAAATTAAAAAGGTGATGAGATAGGGAAAAAATTGGAAGGATTTACTTTAAACAGAGTCAAGAAGTCCTCTTCAAGTAGGTAATATTTGAAATGAGAACTAAAGGACAAGGTGTGGCCAGCTATTAGGTATAGGACAGAAAGACTTAGGCTCTTTAAAGCCTGGATCTACAGGGGATGAGTTGAAGGTTTGAGCAGCAATAGAGAGATGAGGTGATTAGGGGTGGAAAAGATCATAGAAAGTGGGTGAGGTCAGTTAAGGGAGGAGGCTAGTAGTGAAAAGAGAATTAGGGAGACTAGTACTTATAAAGGACTAGTGAATACATGTGTTTAGGGAGCTTTGGGATTGGAGCTCTAACTGGATGGATTCAGGTCGGGGAACAGGAGAAGTGGCCATTCCCTCTCTGGATATGTTAGGTATATGAGAGAACTTTGGTGAATTGGTTTGAGGGAGGCACAGCTTTGCCCATAGGCAGGAGAATGGATAAGAAGCCTTGGGAAGAGCCAGTCTATGCCTGAAGTGAAGCCTCTCCATCTTTTCTATGGCTTTGCAAAGTAGAAATGTGTAAAATGAAGATGACATTGCAGGGGCCCAGCCACCTGGCTCTGGCCTGGCAGAAGAGGGAGCAGACCTACCCAGAGCTCAGAGCTTAGAGTGGGCAGGACATTGGGCTTGGAGACCCTTCCTCTGGCCTTCGTGCTCCATTTCCATCCTCACCCTTCTGCTTCCCATCTGCAAAAGTCCATCTCTGTGCCCATCCTGGGTCCTATGACTTTTCTCTCCCTCAACAGTCGGTTCCCGATTCTGGTCCCCGGCCCCCAGCAGCGCCTGCCCCCTTCCCACCGGGGCCCCCCATGATGCCACCACCCTTCGTAAGTTTTTTATCTTCCCCTGGGCTTGGCTTTTCCAGCCTGCACCCCCAACTCCCCAGCCCCTAGCCACAGCTGCATCACCAGCACGGTGTTCATGGAATGCCCCTTCTGTTGCCTTGGAAGAGGGATGGTTTTGCCTGAGCCTTGGGGTGGGTAGAGCTGCTGTCCAGCTCTCAGTCCATAACATTGACCATTCCCCTTTTGTCTTTTTGTCCTTGGAACACACTGGGGCTCGGGTAGGAGAAGTGGAAAGGAAAAGACCCTTATTAGTGTGAGGGCAGGGTGGGAATGGTTCCTCTTTCACTGCTCCTTATCTGTGCCCTTGAAATGTGCCATAGAAGTCAGGCTGGAATAGTATTGATGGTCACTGAGTTGGAGAAAAGAGAATGGGAGGCTGGGGACTGTGGGATTTGGGTGCCTGGATACTTGCCTTCTGCCCCTCCATCTGAGAGGACTTCTTTGGGGAGAGTTGCTGAAGAGGTAGAGCCTTCTAGCTGCAGTCTGGTGGCTGCTACAGTTCCCTTTTTCCTCTCTCTCCCCTCCCCACTTCTCAAAGAAGCCACGTGCTTGCTTATTAAATCCAAAGGACCCTCCCCCTGTTTTCAGTCTTTCTCAGTGGTGAGGGGGGAGGCAGTTTCCTGTTTTGTTGCTTCTCAACCTACAGCCACTTGAATTGCCTCAGAGCCAGGGTAGAGAGAAGGGGGCGCAGCAGGTGGATATTTCCTGGCAGATCGAAGGCAGTGTCTTCTCTGCTTAGTGACGCTTCCCTTCCTCATTTCTAGATGCCCCCTCCAGGGATCCCCCCACCCTTTCCTCCGATGGGGCTACCCCCCATGAGTCAGAGGCCACCAGCCATTCCCCCCATGCCACCTGGCATCATGCCCCCAATGCTTCCACCAATGGGGGCACCACCACCACTTACACAGGTAATCCACCCCTCTCTACCAGGGGCCTCAGAAAAAAACCTGTCAGTTTAACTGGGGGTGGTGATGAGAGTGGGATCTGGGCTTTGGAAACTGGGGATGGGAGGGACCTTTGGGCTAGGCTCATGTGCGTTTGTCCCCTGAATGACTGGAGCAAACTCTCAGGCTAGGCTGAGAGCCCAGGGATGGCCTGACAAAGTGCCCAAGTGAGGGTCATGGCCCCAAAGGGATTTCTGAGGGACCCCTATGGGGTACCCTGACTCACAGGGACCTTGCCCAGCCTGTGTCTGCCCTGACTTTGGTAGCTGGTTTTTGTCTTCTTTGTATCCATAGATACCAGGAATGGTACCTCCCATGATGCCAGGAATGCTGATGCCAGCGGTGCCCGTCACCGCAGCGGTAAGCATGAGGCCGGCAGGAAGCAGGCTGTGCTCTCTAGCCCTGTGGGTCTGACTTGAAGTACAGGGGAAATGGCTGCCATTCTTTCCCTCTTTTCATCTTACCCTGGTTCCCAGCACCTGGTTCCCCTACATTGAGATCCTCCTCTCCAGCTGTGTCCTTGGTTCTTTTTGTTTCCCACTCATCCCCAAAGTCATGTACATTCTCTCTTGCTTCTTCCCTTGCTGTGCCTGGCCATGCCGAACACTCCTCACCTTCACAGAGGGGTGCTCTGTGGACATATGAATAAATTATCTTCTTTTACATCTTCTTTGTCTCTGGAGGAAATAGCATTACCCAGAGACCTCTATGTACCTTCTTGTGCTATTGTTCAGTGTAGAGTCTGGTAGGATGTAGATTGCGGCATCTACTGTGGAAGAGATGGGCCTTGAGAGGTGACTCAGAAAAGTACTTTCATTTGAGGAAAGTGAGGAAAGGAGCTGCTGTGTGATTTCTACCTGAGATCCTAGAGTCGTGACCCTGGAGGGTGGGGGAAGTCTGTTAGGGAGCAGAGATCCCTGGGAGCCAGGGCACATGGATCCTGGACTGGCCTACTTCTCCTTCCCCATGGCCTGGGTCCTGAGGGCCACTGGGCTTGGCCCAACCCTTCCCCCTCCTCTTTCTTCGGCAGACGGCTCCGGGTGCAGACACCGCCAGCTGTGAGTCTTCTGGGGGCCTGCTCCCCCCAGGCTCGGAGGTTGGGGGGCACAGGGGAGAGGGGCCATGGACTGGAGCCCACCCTGGATCATGCCTGTTGGGATGCCAGGGAGCCTGGGATGTTGATGGGACCAGGGGGTATTTATTGGGATGGAAAAGGGAGGACTAGGTGGGGATAAGACAGGGATTGGAGCAAGGACTTAGTACGTTTCGTTTGGCTTCTTTTCTAGCTGCTGTGTCTGGGACAGGCCCTCTGGTGAGTTCGTCTAGCTGAGGGGTTTCTGGGTAGAAAAGCTGAATGGGGGTAGGGGTGTAGAGGCTGACAAGTATGTTTTTGGGGTGGGGAGGAGAGGCTTTGGGACCTTACCTCTGTTCTGTGCCCCCAGAGGGCCCTGTGGAGTGAGCATGTGGCCCCTGATGGGCGCGTCTACTATTACAATGCTGATGACAAGCAGTCCGTGTGGGAGAAACCCAGCGTGCTCAAGTCCAAGGCAGAGGTCCTGAGCAGGGCTTTCTGGCCCTTCCTTTTGGCTTTTGATGGCAGTGGTGGGTGGGTGATGGACTCTTCCAAGCCGTTGGCCTCCCCTGATCTCTCTCATCTTAAGACTTCTGACTACTCCCCAGCCTCTCTGTATATGTTGTCCTACCATCTAGAAGCCCATGTTCCCCCACGTTGAGCTAGGCCAGATAGCTAAAGACTCCTGTGACCCTTGTCCACTGGGTCCTCTTAGTTCCCTGACTGTGGCTGCAGGGCATACCCAGCCTGCTGATATCCCTGACCCTCCTCTTACAGCTGCTGCTGTCCCAGTGTCCTTGGAAAGAGTACAAGTCAGACACAGGCAAACCTTACTACTATAACAACCAGAGTAAGGAGTCCCGCTGGACCCGGCCCAAGGACTTGGATGAGCTAGAGGGTAAGAGGTCCTGGGGGCTGGAGGGCATGGGCCTGGTCAGGAGTTTTGGTGGCTACCTGTGACTGACCGTGCTGTCTTTTCCCATTGCAGCTCTAGTCAAACAAGAGTCTATAGGGTGAGTGAGTCAGCTACCTTACCCACCTGTTCATCCATGCTTGGGGTCACATGAGGGGAGGGGTAAGAGTGGATTGTCTCTCCCATTATCCCTGCTCCATGAGAGGAAGAACCAGCTCTGCGTTTCCTGTGGAGTGGTCTGCCCTGGCCCCAGTCCTTCCTAGGATGGAGACAACAGCCATCCCCTGACCTCCTCTTTCTTTGCTCTACTCCTGGGTACTGCCCTTCTGGCTCACCTGTAGGAAACAGCAGCAGCAGCAGCAACCACAAACATTGCAGCCACAGCCTCCTCAGCCACAGCCTGACCCCCCACCTGTTCCTCCTGGCCCCACCCCAGTGACCATGGGCCTCCTGGAGCCTGAGCCAGGTGGGAGTGAAGATTGTGATGTATCTGAGGCTTCTCAGCCCCTGGATCAGCTGGAGGAGAGCCCCAGAAGGTGAGGGCCGCCCCTCTGTGGCACCCCAAATCCTGGCCCCAGGTTTTCAGCCCCTGATCCTGATTCAGCCCTTGACCTCTGCCAGGGCTTCTCAGGAGGGATGTGATAGTCTGTGTGTGATCTCTGGAGGGTGGAAAGAGGCTCCTCTAGGAAGCAAGGGGGATGATAATACTGAGAACGCAGGGCACTGGAAGCTTTAGGAGCTGGGGGGCCCTGTGGCTGAGTCCCCTCTGCCCCCTAGTTCTGCTGGACAGCATCAGCCACCACAGCAGGAGGAGGAGGAATCGAAGCCAGAGCTAGAGAGGTCTGGCCTCAGTTGGAGCAACCGGGAGAAGGCAAAGCAGGCATTCAAGGAGCTGCTGAGGGACAAGGTGCTGGGGGTGGGTGGGCCTCCCAGGGGAGACCTGAGGACTGGACATGAGCAGGCCCCATGACCTCCACCGGTCCATTCCAGGCTGTCCCCTCCAACGCCTCGTGGGAGCAGGCCATGAAGATGGTGGTCACCGACCCCCGTTACAGGTAGGCCTGGGCAGAGGGAACCAGGCCCTCCAGACTCTGTTCATGAGAGTTGCTTGGCCAGGGACTCCCTGAGCTCAATATTCGAGCCCCAAGGAGGCCAAAACCAGGAAAGTGAGGTTGGGGTGGGATGCCAGAGGAAGAGAAGGGAGGGGAAGGTTCTGACATGCGACTTCAATAAATACTTGTTGAATTGAATTGAATTGAATTGAATTGAATTAATTGGGGAAAGGGGGATGGATAGGGCAGAGGCCTGACTACGACTTGAGAAACCCCCCCCTCACTACCTCTCACCCCACCCACATCCCAGGGATCTGTCCTGCCTCCCTGCGCCCTTGGAGCTCTTGCAGCCATGCCATACCCATGCATGGACCCTCACTCAGCTCTGTGAAGACCCATCCCCATGTGCCCTGTGACTCCACATTATGGGCTGTGCAAGGTGGTTTAGGCTGATTCCTTCTATCCCCACCCCACCCCTACCTTCTCCACCCCAGTGCCTTGCCCAAACTGAGTGAGAAAAAGCAGGCATTCAATGCCTACAAGGCTCAGCGGGAGAAGGAAGAGAAGGAGGAGGCCCGGCTAAGGGCCAAGGAGGCCAAGCAGACCCTACAGCATTTCCTGGAGCAGCATGAGCGCATGACCTCCACTACCCGATACCGGTCAGGGGGCCGAAATGGGGTGGGGCACAGGAGTCTTGAGAACAAAGGCCCCAAGTCTTCTGCTCTGTGCCTGACTACTTACAGTCCATGTGTTTCACAGGCGGGCAGAACAGACCTTTGGGGAGCTGGAGGTCTGGGCTGTGGTCCCTGAGAGGGATCGAAAAGAGGTTTATGATGATGTCCTCTTCTTCCTGGCCAAGAAGGAGAAGGTAACAGTCACTGGGCCAGATTATTCTGCCCCAGTCTCATGCCTTTGCTGTCTTAGGGCCCCTGGTCAGTCTTTTCTCCCCCAGTGTCCCAGCTGTTGACTCAGAAGCTGGTGTAGCATTTGCACATCCCCCGTTTCTGGGCCTGCAACCCTGGGCGGGGGAGGGCAGGAACCAGCCTCAGAGGGGCTGGTGTATCGCCTGTGCTCCATCGCCTTTCTGAGGACATGAAAGCCTTGAAACTGGCTCTTCTCCTGAGATTTCTTAGCTGCCCTCTTTTCCTGAGCTCCTCCCCTCCCAGGCCCACTGAATAGCTCTGGCCTGGCCTGCCTCACCCTGAACCTGTGGCTCCCTAGGAACAGGCCAAGCAGCTGCGGCGTCGCAACATCCAGGCCCTGAAGAGCATCCTGGATGGGATGAGTAGCGTCAACTTCCAAACCACATGGTCTCAGGCCCAGCAGTACCTCATGGATAACCCCAGCTTTGCCCAGGACCATCAGCTGCAGAGTAAGCCTGGGTCTCAACTCCCACTGCCCCTTCCCCTTTCCTCACACACGTTCCCCTGCACCTCCTATCCTCCTGGATATCCCAGGAGTCCTCCAGCACTTACTTACTCTATACCTCTCTGGACTCTGGGTATCCCCCTTCCTCTGGGGTCTACTTGTTGGCCTGAATGTTGTGTCCTTGGAGGAACAGCTTGGGGGGCGGGTGCTGGGAATCACAGGACCTTAGGTGGTGATGATCGTGATGATTTTTGTAGCTCATGTGAGTGTGACCTTAAATGTCATCGTACTGTGGGCCTTAACTGGCAACATATGCTATGAGAAGCTGTTGGCCTGTAACCACTGGCAATAACAGAAATTTACCTTCTAAAGTTGCATCAAAATTTAATTCCTTAAGATATGAAACCTTAGGCCTTCAGATAACTGGCTTCATGTGAAGACTTCCAGTAACTGAATTTGCAAAAGTTGAATTCTTGTTCATTTTTTCTTATACAATTAATGATTCCCTTTCAAGACCACTCTGTTTCAGTGGCCTCTCCCTTCAGAGCTCACTCCTCCCCATTTTCCACCACTCTGGATGTCCCTGGCATCTGCATGGGCAGCATACTTGGAGCACGGCGGGTACTGGGGTCTGAGAGGGTGTACCGCTGGGTCAGTCCCCCTGAACCTCCTTCCTGTAATAGACATGGACAAGGAAGATGCACTGATCTGCTTTGAGGAGCACATCCGAGCTTTAGAGAGGGAGGAGGAGGAAGAGCGGGAGCGGGCCCGGCTTCGGGAGCGGCGCCAGCAGCGCAAGAACCGGGAGGCCTTCCAGGTATCTTTGCTGCTCTTCTAGATGGGAACTCATTTCTGCCCAGAGCATGGCCAGGCCACTTGTTCTGTCTGTCCCTCTTCACGCTTTGGGAGGCCTTTCTGCCTTGATCTCTAGCCCTTCTACTTCAGCTGTGCTCTTCTAGGGAGAGTAGATTTCTGCACCACCAAGGAGCCACCAGCAGAGGGTACCCTAGAGACACAGCTTGACAGCTAAACTGAAAAAACCCCAAACCCACTGCCATCCATTAGATTACGACTCATAGTGACCCTATAGGACATAGTAGACCTGCCCCATAGGGTTTCCAAGGCTATAAATCTTTATGGAAGCAGGCTGCCTCATCTTTTTCCCATGGAGTGCCTGATGGGTTGGAACTGCCAACCTTTCAGTTAGTAGTCAAATGTTTAACCACTAATGCCATCAGAGTTCCTTGCTTGGCAGCTAACGCAATGCCGTCGAGTCGGATCCAACTCATAGCGACCCTTCGTCGGGTTTCCGAGGCAGGGAAGTAGATTGCCCAACCTTCCTTCTGAGGAGTGGCTGGTGGGTTTGCACCACCAGCCTTCTGGTTAGCAGTCAAATACCTTAGGCACTATGCTACCAGAGCTCCTTGCTTGGCAGCTAGGCCATATTTGTTTCCTTTTGATGTGGGGACCCAATTAGGTGCAGCTGATCTCCTTTCTTGAGGTGGCAGGTTTCTGTTTCTTTGCTTCTCAAGCTGGTTCTTTCTCATTGTTTGTCTCTTTCTCTGTGTTTATATTTTCTCCTTTTGTATTGCTCCTTGCCTCCCCATCCATATCTCATCATCTCTACCTCCCTTGCCTGCATTTCCTCATCTGGATTGCCCTCCTTCTCCCTCTGTTGTCCCCATTCCCTCCCATGTCTTTGACTCCGCTCTCTTCCTATCTCATTCTTCCCGTTACTGGTCTTTCCCTGCCCAGACCTTCCTGGACGAGCTGCATGAGACAGGGCAGCTACACTCTATGTCCACCTGGATGGAGCTGTACCCAGCGGTCAGCACTGATGTCCGCTTTGCCAACATGCTGGGCCAGCCGGGTAAGGCAGCCAGGCTCCCCCTTCTCTGGCCTGGCTTCCTGCCCTGCTGGCCTCTCTGCACCCCTACTCCCTGATCCTGTCCTCGACCCCACCCTGGGCCTTGGGAAGCTGCCGCCCGCCAGGCCCCCCTCCCTCCCTCCTCCGCAGGCTCCACCCCTCTGGACTTGTTCAAATTCTATGTGGAGGAGTTGAAGGCACGCTTCCATGATGAGAAGAAGATCATTAAAGACATTCTTAAGGTGAGGGAGGCTTGGGGTATTGATGGATGCAAGCTAGGTGCGGGGCCTGCTCCTGGGCAGGACTCCCTGTCGTCTAGTTTTGTAGGAGCTGTTGCAGCTCACTTCAGCACATATTCACTGTGCTCCTTTATTATGCACTAACCCAAAACCTGTTTGCCATCGAGTTGATCCCAACTTACAACGACCCTATAGGACAGAGCAGAACTGCCCCATAGGATTTCCCTTGGAAGGAAGACTGGGCAATCTACTTCTGTAGTGATACTGCCTCGGAAACCCAAGGAAGGGTCGCTATGAGTCGGATTTGGCTTGACGGCAGTGAGTTTGGTTTTTGATGAATCTTTAAGGAAGCAGATCGACACATCTTTTCTCCCGCAGAGTGGCGGGTGGTTTTGAACCCCTGACCTTTTTGTTAGCAGCCAAGCACTTTTAACTATTGTGCCACCAAGACTCCTTTTCACTATGCACTGGGGATATAGAAATGAATTAGACAGCTTCTGCACATAAGGAGCTCATGGTCTAATAGGAAGATAGACAGGAAAATGGTCATGCAGAGAGACAAGTGTTACTACAGAGACGGGGTCAGGAGATTTGACATTTGAACTGGACCTTTAAGAATGAGCAAGGAACTCTGGTGGTACAGTGGTTAAGGCATCTGGCCATTAACAAAAAGGTGGGCAGTTTGAGGCTGCCAGCTGCTCTACAGGAGAAAGATGAGGCAGTTTGCTTCCATAAAGATTTACAGCCTTGGTGAAGTATAGCAAGATCACTTTTCTGAACTGTAGTGAGCTCGGCCCGCCTCTTTGCACTGTGTGGAGGATCACATGACATCATGGGAACGTTCTCCAAAGTCTGTGGACTGTGTACTTTCCACTGATACAAAGCACTGCTTCCCACACCTGGCTGCACAGCAGAATAAACTGGAAAGTTGGTTTTTATTGTATTTCCTTTTACATAAACCTAAAAGGTTTTCTTAAGCATTATGTGTAGTATAAATTTCTTATTCCTTTACTATTAATTAAAATATGAGCTACAATTAGGAAAAAAATATTTACGGCCTTGGAAACCCTATGGAGAAGTTCTGTTCTGGCCTACAGAGTTGCTATGAGTTGGATCAGCTCGATGGCAGTGGGTTTGGGTTTTTTGGGGCTTAAGAATGAGCGGGTGGATCCCAAATCACAATTAAAAAAATTGAGCGGGTGGGGGAAGGTGGATTATTCTGGGCATCGGGAGCAAAGGCAAGGGGTTAGAGAGTGTGTGGTGAGTTTGAGGAGTGAGAAGCACAGCTAGTGTAAGCTGTTAGCATACAGGTGTATGGCCAGCTGGTTTCTGACCTATACAGTGTTTTAGAAAAATTTGAAATTAATTCCTAATGTCTTAAAATCAAGAGATTCTGCATAAAAATCTGGATTTTTTCAGTTTCTCTTGGACATTTGGATTATCTAGCTTCACTGGGCTGATTTTGCAAGGCAGTTAATAGACTCAAACTGAGGTGCCACTGCCCTTTTAGAAGGGGTACGTCTCCTTATCCTTGCCACTCTTTGTTGCCTCACTGACACTAAGGCACATGTCAACTGCCATTTACTATTTTCAGTGTTGCTTTTCTAGACTGGGGAAATACTCTCAATATCCATGTTTATCAAAGGGAGAAAAATAAGTGATAGACTAAGAGAGAGGCTTGTGTTTCCAAAGGAAAAACAAGGAAGTCTTTGTGGAAGCAAAGAGCATCCTAATGTATTTGATGAAACACTATAGCATAGTTGTTAGGAACAGCTAGACTGCCCAGGGTAAAGTCCAAATTACCCACATTACTAGTTGTGTGACCTTGACAGGTTACCTAACCATACTGAGCCTCAGTTTCTTTGTCTTAAAAATAGGGTTCTTCCACCAAAGTATACCTGATTTCAGAGGAACCAGATACCAGGGTTGCAAGGGGTCTAGGAATATACCTAGAAATGTCCCATTGCACATGTAACATTTCTTTGAAGCCCTGTGTTTTACCTTACAAATTCATGCAGGTTTTGCATTTTAATATTGTTATATTTCTGTTTAATACAAATATCTTAAACTTACTTACTGTTAGGTAAGATATATCATATTGTCCTGTGGTTTCTTCAGTTTTTCTGGAACAGCATGCCCCAGTTTGGAATCAGAGCCCTGGATATAAAAACTTGACTGCTAAACTAAGAAAATAAGGGCTTTGGTTTTGTAAATAGTGAGGAGCCAAGGAATGATGTGATCAGATGGGTGTCTTAGAAAAGCCACAGGTGAAAGTATAGAATAGTGCCTCTCAGATGGGGGTGTTTGTATCCTTAGCAGTTATTCTTTGTGGCGGTGATGGTGGTGGTGGGAGGAGGACAGTTTTTGAAGCCACAAGATGCTAAAAGTGATAGTGGCAAGTAAGTCAGAAACCTGACCTTGAGTTACCCTCTTCTGACACCCCTGAGTCTCTCCCCTGCTGTTGAAGCTAGTTGGTAGGAAAGTCTAAGAAGCACTGGATGCCAGAGGCTGGGTTAGAGGCATTGGAGAGAGTGAGCAGCGAAGTCAGTCAGGAGACTCGTGGAGGAATCTAGGTGGGAGATACGCTAGGCCTTAATTTGGGCAAGGACATTGGAGATGGGAGATGGGGAGAGAGCTTTAGGGCTCAGAGTGTGTTTCTGAGACCCTAGGTTTCCTCAGAGGTGCCTTATGACAAGCAAGGGGGAGGTGAGTGTGTGAGGGCTCTATACCCCTTCCCTCTTTCCAAGTAGAGCAGCTCTACTTACATCGGTCTTATGCATTAAGGTTTTACATGAGATTTTTATTGACACAGTGTTCATGCTGTGTAAAAAAACATGAAAGTTTTAGAGTTACTCAAAGGTAGAGTTGACAGATTGTTTTGCAAAATTGAAGGAAAGTAAGGATTCAGAGCTGGTATGGGTAGATGAAGGCATCATTGGTAAGGATCAAAACCAGGTCTGGAGACAGTAAGATTCCATTTGGGGAGTTATTTTCAAATGCAACCCGAGGCAGGGAAGAATAAAGAAAATACTATGTTTTAAATGGGATGATCATATAAAATGGAAATATGTAATCCCAAAATGGTCAGATTTTATGGGGCAGCTAACTGTTAGCCACTGAGTGGTTGGTTCTATTCAAGGCCATAATCCTTGCTGGGTCCTACCTCTCCATCCACCCAAGGAAGAAACTTCTTAAGAGAGTTGCCCTCGCTGCTCACATTCTTGGGCTCCTGCGTATGGAGGGCAGATGAGCCCAGGAGTCCCTGTAGCCACCCACCAGCCAAGTGGACTGTGATGGCACCTCTCATCCCAGAAGATAATGGAAAGCCTTGGACTTGGAGCAGTTACAAGACTGAAGACTTAGGCCTGAGCGATCCATGGAGTGGGACAGGGGCTCACGAAACATGAATTCTGTCAGCATCTGCTGAATTTGAAGTGTCAGTGAAGTATCAGTCTAGTAGGGGTCTGAAAATCAGGAGAGAGGTGTGGAATACAACTTCTGGGGAGCTAAGTAATTGTGTAGTGAAATAAGACTTAAGTGCTGTTCTCAAGGGATCCTGCACATGCAAGGGGAAAAAAGAAGAAACAACCTACTGCCATCGAGTTGATTCTGACTCATGGAAATGCCCATTGGTCTTCTGAGGTAGTAAATCTTTATAGAAGTAGATTGTCCCATCGTCCTTCCATGGAATGCCTGGTGGGTTGGAACTGCCAACCATCTTGTTAGCAGTCAAATGCCTTAGGCACTGTGCCACACAGCTTCTTGCACATGCAAGAGAGGGTGGTAAACAGAGATCAAAGCAGGAGGGACCCTTCCCCCTGCCCAGGGAATAAATAGCAGAGGCTTTGAGGCCAAGATTAGTGAGGACTGAGAAGGGACCCTTGGACCCTATTAGGACATAGTCACTTTAGGGAAGCAGTGCCCATGAAGGAGGCAGAGTCGTGGTAGAACAAGCTTGAGTCAAATAACTCCTGGCTGTATATTGGCTCTGAGACCTCAGGCTACTATCTCTGAGCCTCTGTTTCCTCATATGTATAAGGAGAATTATCATTGTGCAAGGTTGTAGAATTAAATAACATTTGTAAACATTTGCTTATAATTGTTGTTGTTAGGTGCCATTGAGTGGGCCAGACTCATAGCAACCCCTCCTTGGGTTGCTGAGGCAGTATCACTATGGAAGTAGATTGCTCTATCTTCCTCCTGAGGAGTGGCTGGTGGGTTTGAACCGTCAGCCTTCTGGTTAGCAGTCAAGTACCTTAGGCACTATGCTACCAGAGCTCCAATAACATTTGCTTATAGTAAGCCCTCCACAAATTAAATGATTCCTTTTCCTTTGTGCTTTTTAAGAGATTTTGAAATAGGGGAAGAAGGAAAGAGGCAGAGGTTGTTAGCTTGAGGAATACAAAAACAGGATGGAAAGAAGGATGTTCCAGGTCCAGTGAGGTTTGGAGCTCTGGTGGTATAGTGGGTAAGGCATTTGGCTACTAACCAGAAGTTAGGCATTTCAAACCCACCAGCTGCTCCATGGGAGGAAGATGAGGCAATCTATTTCTGTAAAGATTTATAGTCATGGGAACCCAGTGGGGGTCGCTATGAGTTGGAATCAACTCAATGGCAATGGGTTTGGTTTTTTGAGTGAGTGCTTGATGGGTGGAGCCAATGAAGGGGATAAGGTTGAAGCTTTCAGTTCCGTGAGAGGGAGTACTGTGAGGAAAAGGGCTGAAGACTGTGGGTTGAGGAAGTGCTCTCCGAAAGAAAAAAAGCACACCCTTGATATCAGCAGGAAGGCCAGAGGGAGGTACAGCTCTGTGGAAGGTGGAAGGGATTGGGGCCCATGCCCCAGTCAAGTGGGGATGAACAGATTCAAGAACCACACTTCAGGGTCTAGTACCACTTACCACCATGTCATCTTGGGCCAAGTTAGATAACTTTTCTGAACTTACGTTCACTGGGGAATGCTTGAAGAATGTGAGATATTGGAGAGTTGCACACCAGATGAACCTTGATTTCGTCCGTGGAATGAGAAGTGGTAGGGGGATAGTACTTAGAAGCATGAGCTTTGGTGTTAGGAAGACTTGGGGTGGATTTCTTGCTCAGTCATTTATTAACTCTGAGACAGACAGTTGCTCTTAATTCTGTAAACCTTCGTTTCTCCTTCTGCATAACATTAGGGTAACAAACACAAACACAACACACTGCCATTGAGTCAGATCTGACTCAAAGCGACCTCTCCTTGGGTTTCCGAGGCGGTATCACTATAGAAGTAGATTGCCCAACTTCCTTCCGAGGAGTGGCTGGTGGGTTTAAACCGCCAGCCTTCTGGTTAGCAGTCAAATGCCTTAGGCACTACGCCACCAGAGCTCCTAACATTAGGGTAATAGGGCCTATTCTTAAGTTCAGATACATGTGAGGATCAAATAAGATAATATATGCGAAGCACTCAGCCTGGTACCTGGTACATAGTAAACACTCAATAAATAAAGACAAAGGGTGCTTGGGACAGTGAAGATTGAGGACCACATGGGGAGCTGGAGCAGATGCTGACTGAGAATGCACGGATGCATTCGTGAGCAGCGGGATGGCCCAACTGGGGCCTGACCTTTAAGCCAAAGGAACAAAGAGCTAGTTGTGAGACTCGAGCATCAATCAGCAGATAAGGAAAGAGAAGCAAAGGGGTGAAGTCATGGGGAATCCTAGGTCCCCCACTCCTACAGAGTCAATCCCTTGAGCTCTCTGTGGTTCAGGTGCCCAAATTAAGGGGAGACATGGGGGCTGTCACTAGATGAGGACAACCTAGACAGCTCAGTTTCAGAGGCATGGCCCTGTCCTGTGGATCTCTTCTGAAGGTACCCTGCAGGCTGACCCCTCTGCCTGCCCTGGAGGCCAGCTTTGGGCCTCAGGCAGTGCTGTCCTTGGCTTCATCCACTGCTGTACCCACAGGACCGGGGCTTCTGCGTGGAGGTGAACACAGCCTTTGAGGACTTCGCCCACGTCATAAGCTTTGACAAGAGGGCTGCTGCGCTGGACGCAGGCAACATCAAGCTGACCTTTAATAGTGTGAGGGGCCAGACTGGGCTGGATGGGCCAGAGTCAAAGCTGGGACTCAGTTTTTCTAACTCACCCCACTGCCTTGTTCCACTCCTCACTCACTGTCCCAGTTAAAGGGGATACTGGTAGAAGCCCAGGCTTCTACTTTCCACCTCCGAAGGTGTGCTTGGGTGGGACCTGGGCACCCACCCTCTGGTGACTATGTTCTGTGTCCTTTCTGCCCTCAGCTGCTAGAGAAAGCAGAAGCCAGGGAGAGGGAGCGGGAGAAGGAGGAGGCACGAAGGATGCGGCGCAGGGAAGCTGCCTTTCGAAGCATGCTGAGGCAGGCCGTGCCTGCCCTGGAGCTAGGCACTGCCTGGGAAGAGGTCAGGACTGCAGCCTGGCATCAAAAACCATCCCCTCGACCCTGAGGGCAGCGGTACTTCTCGACCACTGAGGGCCCATCCCAGTCATAAGCACAGCTGTGGGCCAGCTCCGGTCCCCTCCTTTCTCTGCCCCAGCCCTGCCCTGTGCTCGTGGCTGTGTCCAGGCTTGGCCAGGCCTGGTCTCATCAGCAGTGCTCTCCCCGTTCAAGGTCCGTGAGCGCTTTGTGTGTGACCCAGCCTTTGAGCAGATCACCCTGGAGTCGGAGCGGATCCGGCTCTTCCGGGAATTCCTGCAGGTGCTGGAGGTAAGGCAGGGCTCTTGTCCTCTGGATCTGTCCCAGGCCCCTGAACTGTCTAGGCTAGCCCCATAGAGACCTCAATGACTCTCATGCCTAGGGTTCTTCTTCCACTGGTCTAGAATGAGGAAAGGGAGTTCTTAGAGGGCCCTGGAGTTATTAGAGGGCATAGGCGCTTGCCTGAGGGAGGGAGACAGGCCCAATTTTAGGTTCTAACCCAGGTACCTTCCTCACCACTTGTCTCCACCAGAATGAATGCCAGCACCTCCACACCAAAGGTCGGAAACACGGCAAAAAGGGCAAGAAACACCATCGCAAGCGCTCCCGCTCCCCCTCAGTGAGTTGTGGATAGAAGGGATGTGGGGTGAGGCTGGATTGTTTGGGGAAATAAGCGGCACTATTCTTACCCTTTCCCCTGGATCACCTCCCTTGCAGGGAGATTCCAGGATCCCTTTGGCCCTGGATTCTCCTCTCTGCCCCTCGTTCCCAGACTTGAGACCCTCTGCGCTGACTAGGTGCTGAGGTGCTCAGCATCTGCCCATCTCCCAGGGCTCCGAGTCAGAAGAGGAGGAGCTGCTGCCCCCCCCATCTCTCCGGCCCCCCAAGCGGAGACGGCGGAACCCCTCTGAGTCAGGCTCTGAGCCCTCTTCCTCACTTGATTCGGTTGAGAGCGGGGCTGCTGCTGTTGGGGGACAGGGCTCCCCATCCTCCCGCCTCCTTGGATCAGGTAAGCAGGGTGGAGGATGGGTGGCAGTGGGACCATCTAACCCCTGGCCTGGAGAAGTGTTGGGAGCAGAGAGGGAGGGGCCTGGCAGGCCCAGGTGGAGAGGAAGCCCTCTTGATCCTCAGCCTCCTGGAGGGCAGAGCAGATGGGGAGGGCTGAACTTAATGGGATGACTTGCTGTCTTTGGCCTGGCAAGACAATGGGAGAAGGGAAACTGGATTTAAGACTCCTGCCTAGACCATGAGGTCTCCCAGATCTGGGAAGAATAAGAGGGCTTCTCTGCTATGAGGCAGAAAAGGATGAGCCCTGCCTTCTTATTGGGGATTTTTCCATCTCCAGATCATGGCCTTCGGAAAGTCAAGAAACCAAAAAAGAAAAATAAGAAGAGAAGACACAAGTCGGTGAGTAGAGAAAGAGCTTCTCCCATGATCCTATTGTGTGAAACCTACTCCGCTGCCTCCTTCCACTCCACAGCCCCCCTCAGAGGGGCTGAGCAGCTGGGCTTTGGGCTCTTACAGAATAGTCCTGAGAGCGAGACAGATCCTGAGGAGAAGGCTGGCAAGGAGAGCGATGAGAAGGAACAGGAACAGGATAAGGACAGGGAGCTCCGGCGGGCAGAGCTCCCTAACCGCTCCCCAGGCTTTGGAATCAAGAAGGAGAAGGTGAGAGGCAGCTGCCTGGGCCCCACCCCAGTGAGCACTGTCTGGCCACCGTGGCTCTCGGCGGAGGTCTGTAGTCAGCCATGCCTTTGCTCCAACAGACGGGCTGGGACACATCGGAAAGTGAGCTGAGTGAGGGTGAGCTAGAGAGGCGGCGGCGGACGCTCCTGCAGCAGCTGGATGACCACCAGTGACCTGCGGGCTGTTCTCTGCTCCTAGGTCATCCATACCACCTGCCTCAGACTCCTCCTCAGCCGGGTCTGTGTCCACTTTTCTTAAAGTAACCCCACCCCAACCCACCATTGTTGGCACCTCTCAAGGTTGCTCTTGGTGTTCAAGGACCCCTCCTTCCCGGACAACTAGTGCAGTCCTTGCCCTTAGCCCCAGACCAGAGCTTGGTGGTATATGCCCTGTGGGATGGGTGATGCCAGTGGATAAAATGTGAGAAAGGGTCTCCATGGAAGAGTGACAGGCTGGTGGACACAGCCTAGGTGGCAGAGGGCAGGGTCCTTATCCTCCAGCATCAGTGCCTGCTCCTGCCCGCCCCAGCCCAGGGCTCCACCACTCCTTCCTCCAGCCCCAGAACCCAATGTGCGTGTGGTTTTGGTTGTTTTTTTTTTTTTTTAAATAATATTTATAACATGGCCAGTGGCTCTGTCTTCTCCGTATGCTGCTGGGGCTGGCTCGTGGCTGGACAGGTGTGTACATGCCCAGCAGGGGGCGCCGATGTTTCACAGGCAGACCAGCATCGATTTGTGCAGATGGTGCCCACCCAGCCTGGCTCCACTTCCCCCAGCTTCTGAGCTCACATCCCCTGAAGCAGATGTGGCTCCTCCCAGCTTCCTTTCTCCCTGCCATGGCTCAGGTCAGTCCAAATGGCCACCCTAGCCCCGCCAAACTCAGAAAGAGAAGACAAAGTCAGGCCTGGTACTGGGGTTTATATACAAGAGAAAAGGAGAGGTACATGTACAAAAAAGAATGGGCCCCTGCATTCCTTTCAGGGGCTGAGAAGGAACTGGCAGGGAACTGGACAACTGGTCAGATAAGACCACCATGCCCCCTACCCCTCAAAAAAACCTAGCCAGGGAAAGGAGGTGGAAACATTGTCAGCACACCCTTTCTCAGGCTGGTGCAGAAAAGACCCCATCTTTTCCGCCAAGGGATGAAGGCAGCAAGCTTGGCATCTGTTCTTGTACCCTTATCACTAGGGCACAGTTGGGTGGGACCCAGGCTTCAGAGGGCCTTGCTCCTGGTAAGAGATGATCTAGACTGGCAGGGGCTCGGGTACTAAGCCTGGGTTATTTCTGGACCAGAGTTGACCCCTGGGGTTAAGAAGAGGAAGGAGAGAGAGAGAGGTGCTTTCTCCTCTCATCCCTTTGGGCTCTAGTGAGGGGAGTGGGTACCCCTGTAGAGACTAAAGCTGGCAATGGTTGTTTCTAGCCTTGTGCTGACCCTTGGTGACCCTTCAGGAAACGAAGCTAACACCCTTGGGCAAAGTGCAGTAATGGAGGCATCAGGGAAGTGCCAGGCCCCTGAGTAGAGAGCAGCATGGCCTCTGCTGGGGCCTTGGCGGTTTGCAAGGTTCCAGGTCCACTGAATGGACTAGCACTCTGAGGCTGAAGTGCTTCTGCCTCCTCGCTCTGTCCCCAAAGGGTCTCAGTGGGGCCCTGGAGCCCGAGGGGGGCCACTGGGCGGTGCAGCACTCCTGGCTTGATGTCGAACAACAATGGGCTGGTGGTGGAGGCCTGTGGAGAAGACAGAAGCCTGTGAGCTGGCAGAGAGCTTGGGCTAGGCCCATCCTCCACAGGAACAATGCCTTTAGGATTAGCACCATAGGTGGGGCCAGGGAGGAGCCAGCCATGAGGTAGATGAGGGAGAAACTTAAAAAGAGGCTCCAGGAGGTAGTCAGGGAAAATGCTGGACTCTCTACCTTTGGAGGGTAAGGTAGAGGATGACTGAAGGGCCATGGGCAGAAACAAAGTAGACTCATTGAGTAAGAGCCAGAAGCTAGGAAGAGACCTCAGGGTGACTAGCTATCAAGAAACAGAGGTTCAGGGACATCCGATTGCCCCTGGACAGAAGCTATTGCCAGACCTCTTAGGAAAGGCAGCCTAGGGGAAGTGAGGACAAAGGCTACCTTGGCCCCAGCAATGGCAGAAACAGGCCTGGTCCTACCTGCTGAGCCTAGCTTTCAACCCTTGTCTGGCAACTCTCTTCCCCTTGGGTCTTAGTAGAAGCCACAACAGCATTAGTGGGAGACATGCCACTCCCCTGAGGGCACATGCAGGGGGCAAGCCATGCTTCTCAGAGCATGGGGCATGCACGGAGAAGTATATGTCCCCATCAGCTAAAGGCTGCCAGAGGATGGCTCCAAGTCATGCAAGGGAGGGCAGAGCCTGTGGGGCCCAGCAAGAATCTTAGGCCGATGGACATGCAGGGGGGCAGCTGTGGTGCCCAGTACCTGTCAGGGGCCCCAGCCTTGGGGGTTAACAGTTTGACTCATCATGGTGGGCTGCATCACAGAAGAAGCGTGAACCCCGCTTGGCAGTACGAGCCGTGAAGGGGACACTCTTCAGCACTGTGGCCCAAGAGAGAGACACAGTGGTCAGGTTTTGTGGGGGTAGGGGTGGGAGGAGAGCCTGAAAGGGTTGAGCTGAGCTTTGGCAGCTGGGCCCAATGGCCAGGCCCCAGGGAAGCCCACCTGTGATGATGTCCTCGATGGTACCGTCCTTCCCCTCATACACAGGCCGGTGTTCCTTGGCCTGGCGCCGCCTCAACTCTGCAATGAGCTCCTGCTGCTGCCACTTGTTCCGCTGGGATGGGGTCTAGGGCCGAGCATTTGAAGGGGAAGGAAGTCATTACTACCCTATATGGGATTGGCTCCTGCCCCAAGATGCAATCTGAGGATGCCCTTAATAGTGTACTGTAGTCCCACCCCATCACTGCTTAGGAATCTGCTCTGCAAGCCCCCCTTCTACTTCCTTGCAGCCCCGTCTCCCTGCCTTCTCTGTGGACTCTAGTCTTCAGGCCCTCTGGGTGGTCTCTCTGCTCCTCTTCCATCTCCCTCTTTAGCTCTCTGCTCCACCTCCTCCGGATCCTTTGCCCTGCCTTCTTCCAGGCCCCAGCTCTTAGTCCCACCCACCTTGGCATCCAGTTTCTTGGCTTCCTGAGCCAGCTGCTTCTCTCGCATTACTTCCTCCTGCTTCTTACGGGCTTCATTCTCTTGTTCTGCTTCCTAGGAACAGTGGAAGGTGGGTGGAGGGTGAGGCTCACGCAGGCTGTGAGGGGTGAAGCTAACACTGAATGTGGAGGATGGGTGGCAGTGGGACCATCTAACTCCAGGTGGCCACCTTCTGGAGGGGTACTTCCTGCCCCAAACAATGACAGGAAGGGCCTGGGCCCCCACCCTGCCCACCAGTCACAACGAAGAGGCCTGTCACCAGCTTGGATCACTCCTTCGCAAGGACTAAGGAGTTAGAAAAGGCCTAGAATTGGAGCCCAGCCCTCTCTCCCTCAACTAGTTCGAAACTTCAGAAAAGCCTTATTTCTGCTTACCTTATAAGAACGAATGAAACGGACAAAGACTGGAAAGAATACAGAAGGAGGTGTGGTCTTGGGACTCTCACCAAAGTAGCGAACAACTGCATTGTAGGCCTCCTGGGAAAGAGGGGGCCGAAGGGGTCAGTGAGGCTGGAAGGAGAAGCCCAGCTTCCACACCAGAGACACAAAGAGTCCAGGCCCAAAGGGAGACAAAACAACAGCCTGAACCCCTGTTGGCTGGAAAGAGGCTAGGGCTCCCAGAGCACCTACAATGGTTGTCTCCAGAAAGCCTCCTCTTCCACCTCCACACAGCCAGTCACCAGAACTAAGAACTAAGTCCACCTTAGAACTTGTCCCTGATGCTCCCATCCACCTCTACCTGTGCTCACCTCAGCCGTCTTGGCGTCTCGCTGGAGCTTGTCCAGTTTGCCTTCATTGGTGCTGAGGAAGTTCCGAAGGACACTATTATCATGGAGACTGCACTCCCGACGAATCAGGTCCATGCCCCGGCCCAACTCTTTCACATCCAGCAGCACGTTCTCCAGGGACACTGTGGTCATCAGAGCCCCAGCTGAGGCCCACCTAGGGCCCAGCACGCCTACCTCGCAGCTCAGGGCTCAGGCCTTCCTCCTCAGCACAAACTAAATTGTTCTCATGTCCCTGCTCCCTGAACCACCCTTAGGGACACAGAAGTACACCAAACTAGCTGGGCCTCACAGGGGCTAGCCTGATTGGGGCAGGAAAAGGAATGGAGGCTGTGACCCAAAGAACAAGGTAGCAAAGGAAGGCAAGCCAAGAGACTGTTCTGGTCTCCAAGAGACTGCCTCTGGCCTGCCACAGTTTTCATGGATGGGACAGAAATAACAGCTACCTTCTGTCTTTAGGGCTTTATGATTTTTCTGAACACTTCATGTACATTATGGAGAAGCCCAGGGTCTCCCTGGGCAAGCTTGAAGGAGTTAGGAGGAAAAGAGCCATTGCTCCCCTTCCTGTTCCTATACCCACTACACTAAGCTGGAAGGGACTAGGCCAGGCCTGGAGCCAGGAAAGACTCCCTCTACGGTAGCACATGCCCACCATCCCAATGCAAAGCTTTGAAGTGGTCAGAAAAAACAAGCAGACCCAAGTGTTCCCTCTCCCCATAGCTTCCTGGGATTGTCCTGGGTTGAATCTAAGAACAAGCTCACCCAGCCAGGCTCCCCTCACCTGCTGCAGCCTTCTCTACAAAGTGTAGCTCATGCCAGAAGTTAGCCAGGTCTGGGTATTTCTCCTTCACCGTCAAGGCAATGAAATGCAGCAGCGTCATCTTCCGGTCAGTGGACTTGGTGTCCAGCAGCTGGGAGGATGCGGGGGTAGTGTGAGAAGACAGAGTACCCTGCCCCTGAGGCTTCCTGGCCCCATGTGGTCCTACCATCTTACCAGATCCAGGCTCTGGAGCTTAAACCCATATACAGCTCCCCTTTTGCTGCTGTTCATGTAGTTCCCTAGAGCGAGTATGATCTGTCCAAAAGATGCATGGGAAGCAGGTCAGTCCAAGCCCTGAGACGCTCCTTTCTCCTCTCCGAGTAGCCCCAGGCCCCCACCTAGGTTTGAGAACCACCAGCATCCCCATTCACAACCCCTGCCCACCTCCAACATCTGCTTCAGCTTCTGTGAGGACTTAACGGAAGCGGAGGCTGCAATGATGGCATTGAGTTGCTGGAAGGAGAGAGAAGTAGCTGCGTACCCCCAGGCTGGGATGGGACAAAGGGCGGGGCTGTGAGGACTGGTAGGACGGGGAGGCGGAGGAGGGAGCCGCAGAGGAGCATGAATGGGGTGGGGGCATACCGGCGTGAGCATCTGCAGGTTGTCCTGGAAGTTGCCTAGGAAGGCCATGCCAGCCATTCTCTGGGTCAGCCGCTCCACCTTGCTAAAAAGCAGCATGAAGCGGTCCTCAGCTGCCAGCTCCTCCAGGGGCTGCCGCTCGCGCTCATACTGCCGCAGCAGCTTCACCTCAGCCTCTGTGGGCAGGAAGCGCATCAGGCACTCCACGAAATCCACAGGTAGTGTCTGTAGGTCAAACCTGTGTAGAAAGGGAGGGACCACCTCAGGTTTCCTATTTACCTGCTTCTTCCCTCATCCCTTTTATTCTCTAGCTTCTAGAAGGACTTAGGGCAGAGAAGCGTTGTACACAGTATCCAGGGTACTATGCTTCTCCCTCCAGGCCCTGAACTCAACCAACCTGGACATTTCCTTCAGGTCCCAGTTGAGAAAGCTCTGGGAAGCCTTCCTTGATCACCAAGCTTGGCTACGTGGCCCTTCCTGTTCCTCTAAACTGCCTGTACCTCTGCCATCTTGATGGTTATCACTCAAGTGTTATTGGTCTCTTCCCGCTAGACTGCTAATTCCTTGAGTTAAGGCCTAGGCCAAATCTCTAGCCCCTCACAAAATGCCTGGTACACAGTATAGTTGTAGTAAGTTCTGGCCCAGTCAGTGAATGACTGATGCGGACAAGGCAGTTCTGTCAGATTCCCTGGAATCTATGGAAGATCGAGCTCCTAAGTGAGCTGGACTGCCAGCTGGCTGGGGACCAAGCCTAGGTCAGTGGGAGCCTCACGTGTGGATGGCCCTGCAGATCTCCTCAGCTGAGCGGCCAGCCTTGCGTAGGGTGATGGCCAGGTTCTTGGCACGATTGGCTTCCAACAAGGTCACCTTACTGGCAGCCTTTTGTGCTGTCTTATTCTTGGAGCAGATGAGGTCAAGGGCAGGGCCCTGGGCTTTCGTTTTGAACAGTTCTTCAAATTTGTCCAGGTCCAGGTCCTGGCATGCACAGACAAGAAGGAAAAATGCTCACACTGGTAGAAAACCCTGAAAGCACTCCCAACATCGGCCTAGCTTAGGTTTATGGAGCTGGCCCTGAACCCACACTGAGTTTGAAAGCTCTTCTAAGGTGAGGAGATATAGCTAAAAGGACAACCTGGTCCCCAGCCCTCTGGACCTTGGCCCTATTACCTCCAAGATCTTCTCATCATCAAGTTCACTGAAGACAGTGCCACTGATCTGGTTGGGTTTCAGCGCTGTCCAGTTGAAGACTGGCAGCCGGAACTTGGTCTTGATAGGTTTCTTGATGCGAATGGCTAGTTTGGTGAGAGGATTAGTGAGGCGGGGCTGAGGGACACAAGCCCTACCCAGGGCCCTGAAGACACTCACCTGACAGGCCCACTGTCAATACCACAGAGGGAGCAGCGCCAGGGAGAGGTGGGGCTGGTGGACATTTGCCTAGGGGAAGAAGAGATGGCACATTCCAGAGTTTGAGAGGCTCTTCAGAGGCTTCCCCTCGCTTCTGCCACCCTACCTGTCCTTAGAGACTCTCAGGGAAAGAGGGTGCGTGAACTCTCTGGCCAAGCTACGCTAAGGAGTCCTAACTCTAACAGTGAAGTTACTGCTAGTTTCTGACCCAATTTCTCCTGCTGTCATCTAAGCCTTCTCGATGGCAGACTTCAGAGGAACTGGAAGCAGCATCTTCACAATCCTGCGAACAGATCCACATCTGCCCTTGGGCATCCCTTTTGGTAACTTTGTTGTTGTTGTTGTGTGCTGTCAAGTCAATTCCAACTCACAGTGACCCTATGGAACAGAGCAGAACTGCCCCATAGGGTTTCCAGCACTGAAAGCTTTACAGAAGCGGACTGCCACATCTTTCTCCTGTGGCTGCTGGTGGGTGTGAACTGCCAACCTTTTGCCTCCCTCACTTTCTAGTCCTACCTCAGCCTTCTCTCACCCTACTTTTGTATCCTTCCAGCCCTTAAATGATGCTGTTTTCCCAGTTCCTTTCTGAAGAAGACACTGTTAATTAGGGTTTTTGGTCTGGTCCCTCCCAACTCCCAGAGGTCCTGGTTACCTGGTAATGGGGGAGGTGGAGGGGGCAAAGGAGGAGCTGGTGGTGGAGGCAGAGGTTGGGTCTCTTCAGGGGGTGGGGCTGGAGCCAGGAGGTCCAGGTCAGAGGGCAGCATGCCCTCACTCAGCTCTGTAGGGCCTACCCTCGCTAGAGCCTCGCCACCCAATGACTCCAGGCCCCGGGCACTTGGCTCCAAGTGGCATCGGCGCTGGAAGGCCTCCTCCTTCTCTTTAATGAGCCTCCGCAGGGTGTGCACCTGGTGGCTCGTGTTCTCGTATGTCTCCTATTGGGCAGACAGCACCGTTAAGGAAAGAGTGGGCTGAAGGGACAGTCGTCATTGCCTCAAGGAGTGAGACTGGGCTGCTCTCTCAACTAGCCTCTGTAGGAGTGCCTGGAGGCAGAGTGGAAGAAATCCAGATGGGAAAATAGAAGCTGGAGTGTAGCAGGGCAAAGAGGTGAGCAGGAGAAATGCCTGCCTCCCCTGGCACCTCAAATGTCCCTCTTCTCTGCTCCAGCCTTATTCTGTCTGTACTGGTCCTTCAAGGGCCAGGGAAAAGGCTGCCTCTGGGAAACTCTCTTGATCCACCAGAAGTCTGATATAGCTGCTCTCTGTAGAGATACTGGAGCTCTCCACAGCCCTTTGTGCCTCATTACCGCTTTTATCTCATTTGGCCTTGGATAATCCCTAAATGGAAAGCCCCCTAGAGGCAAGACCCCAGCTTATCCATTTCAGCATCTTCCATAGCTCCCAATACAGTGCTTCACACCCTTAGCAGGGCCTCGGCAAATGAATATTGAGTTCAATGGAGCAAGCATAAATATATTCTGGAAAAAAAGGTAGGTTGAAGGCACGATTTTATAACTAACAAAAAATTAGGTGAAAAAACAGAAAAGACTGAAATGTAAGGAGCTGCTGCTCTCCTGACTTAGGACACCTGGGTCTAGGGGTTACTTTGTCCCTCTTATTAAGCAGGGCTGGGGGAGCACGTGGCGGTGCAGGGAGGAAGAAACAGCAGGATGGGCTGGTAGGAGCAGTCCCAGACAGGGACTCCAGAGTACACCTGGGAGCCCTGTCTGTTCCCACCCTCTTCTGTGTGTCTCTGGTTCACTCTGGCTTCCACTGCCCTCTCCAACTAAACAATGGGGTGCCTCAAGGGTGAGCCAGATTCTAGAGGGCTTGACATGACTCAGGAAAAGATCACCAGGCACTGGGGCCCCAGACCAGTCCCTGCGTCCTCCCCCTCCCTGATTACTTGGTTACCTTGATGCTTTCCAGCTCCTTTTCCCTCTGCAGCAGCTGCTTCTCAAGCTCTGCCACCCGCATCATGTTCTCATTTTCTAAGTCCAGAAGCTTCTCTGTGAGCTGTGCAGGATGAGAAGGGCAGATGTGCAGCTGGTGGTCCTGAAGCCTGGGCACAGACTGAACTCCAGCCAGGACCGCAGACTAACCCCTCTACCCAAGGCCTAAAGACTGGCCGTGGAGCTCTCCTATATCACCCCCATGGGCCCAGGGTTTGACACAACATGAAATAACAGCAGAGACCAGGCAAATGGCCACATCCTGGTTCTCCTGGGCCTGGGACTGCCTCATGCGCAACCCTGGAGGTCAGCGTATGTTCCAATCTGTACATGATTCAGGGACTCAGGCCAGAGCATGCACTAGACCCTGATGGGTTCTTATGTTTCCTTTGGGCTTAATCTGAAGGCAGATGGTTCAGTTCACAATTCCTGGAACTCAGATAGCCCCATCATGGCTCTGGCAGGCAAAAGAGGACCACTCACATGGGACACATGCTCTTCCAGCTCCTCCACCTTCTCCAGGGCCACATTCTTGGTCTCTGCATCCTCCAACAAGCCCCCCACATCAAAGACATTGTCCAAGTATGCCTGGATCTGCACCTGCAGCTTCTCGCTCTCTGTGTGCCTTGACTTCTGGGGGAAAACAGAGATAATAGTAGCTGGGGGAGCAGACAGAAGATCCAGGAAGCCTCCTGAGAAAGACTTGGTTCTCAGCATCCTCCACTGCCATTTCCTAGAGCACCAAACCCAGGGAGTTCCTACTGCTGTCCATGTGTCAGAGTCTCGCCTACATGGAGCTGCCTGACTGGGGAGTTCCTCTGCAGAAAAGCCTGAGTCCCAGACCCTAGAAAACAGATAGGGTCCCAGGACCATGAAGGACCAGGCTCTTATTAAAAAACAAACAAACACCTTTGTGATACAGCTAAGCTGTTCCTCTGACCCCAGCTCCTCACCCTGCAAGGACCCGAGCCCAGCTCACCTGCAGGAACTCCTCCAGCCCCAGCTTGGTGAACTCATACTGCAGGTGGACCCGGAAGTTCATATCCTCCACCGAGTGCACCACGATGTTGATAAACTGCATGCAGGCCACCTGGGGAAGCAGCAGCCCAGAGAAGCAGAGATGAGAAGGGCAGAGGGGAGGTCCAAGAGACAGGGAGGGGAGGCAGCTGTTAGAACATCATTATCAAGAAGAGATGCATAAGAACACATGGATAAATCGAAAGGAGTGAATAAAAAAGTTCAGTCTTTCTGGGGGTAATACAGCATTTTAACTGAAGAAACATCAAACTTAATATTCAGTGTATGAAAATGAGTTACTTGAAAAATAGATATAAATGAAGACACAACTCTGATTTCCTTTACACATAAGCAGGTAATTTTTGAGACTATCATGCCTAGCTGAAGACCCTGGGCTGAAGGGATGAGTGTGGGGAAGGGAGGGCAGCTTAGAAAACATGTAACCAGGGATGATATGGGCATGGGAAAAGCAGATCTGAGACACCAAGATGACATTGTCCTGAAGTTTCTGAAAGGTCTCTGGGGCATGCAGGTGGACAGGGGGCATGTATTGAGTATGGAAACTCACTCACTACACGGAATATCAAAATACACTGTTGGCCTGGCTCCTGTCCTCAAGGAGTATGTGGCCCTGCTCCTCACCATGAAGTCGATGTTGCTGTCCTCATTCCGGAAATACTCCATGAGCTTCTCAAAGCGGTGCAGCTCCTTGCATACCTGCACAGGCAAACTTTTTCAATGAAAAGATCTGCCCCAGTCAGAACCCAAGTCCTGGAGCCCTGGCTTCCAGGAACATTAGCAGAAAAGGGACTGGTGCAGATCAAGTTCAGTCAAAACTCTATAAAGCCATTCAGGCCATTCAGGCCACTATCAAAGAAGACCTGGGACCTAGAGCCCTGGTCCCTCACCAGCTTGCTGAGGAAGCTCAGTAAAGTCTTTGCCCTTAGGCTGCACTTTAGGTGACTCTGGTGGGGGTAGGCCAAGAAGAAACACAGGGGTCTCATATTGCCAAGTCACTGATGGAAAGAGGAAAGGAGGAAGGGAGTTGGGTTCTGGTGGCAGCAGGAGCCTGAGGTCCTGGGAGGGACACAGGGGAGGGGCCGGTGTACAGGAAAGCCCCTCTGCTGAGAGGGGTCCAGAGGCTCCTCTGAGCCTCTGGACTTCAAGGAGGAAGAGCCATTTCCTGGCTTGAACAATGGATGCTAGGGAAGAGGTCCAAAGAGGAGGAAGGGGTGGGATCGTGGCTATGGCTAGATGTCGAGGAATCCTCTGTTCAAGCAGATAGGGGCTTCAGAGGCTGGGGAAATTCCAGTAGGAATGTTCTCTCCCCTCACCAATAATAGCTAACAACCCAGGAACCATCCCTTGCTTGCCTTCTTTCTTCTTCTTCTTTTTTTTTTTTTTTTAATTTTTATTGTGATTTGGGTGAAAGTTTATGGAGCAAATTCACTTTCCACACAGCAGTTCATACACATTTTGTCTCATGACATTGATTGCAATTTCCTACAATGCAACAGCTCTCTTCCCAGTTCCTCCCCATAGTTACCTCTTCCCTGTGTCCTTCCCTCCCATGCACTCCCGCCTCAAGCTGTCTCCCTGTGCAAACACAATCCTTCTGTTCACCCATGATTGATCCTTCCAAGGGGTGTATCTACCTGATGTAAACATTCAGCAAATATGCCTGTCTTGTTGGCTGGAAGCCACAGGAGTGAGTTCAATTCTAGACCTGAAGGGCAGCTAGGGGCCATAGTCTCAGGGGTTTCACCAGGCTCTATCAGACCAGCAAACCTGGTCTTATTTATTTATTTATTAAATGATTTTGAGTTTTGTTCCACATTGTTCTCCCACTGTATCCAGGATCTCCTATATAGATCCCCCTCTTGAGTGGCTGACATTGGTAGCCAGGCACCATCTAGTTCTGGTCTCATAGTCATCTAGGCTGAGGATCGCATGGTGTACCAGCTGGGGAGTCTCCTAAATACAGATACCCAGTCCTGCAGTGGCGCTCAGGGCTCTATATTTTTACAACCTCTCCAGGTGATTCTGTTGCATGGCTAGGTTAGGACCAATCTACTTCTGAGGGCATCCTTAGCTACCAATCAGGGAGGGGCTTCCCTGGCATAAGATCTAGTAAAGTAAGACTGAAGTTCTGGTTTTGGTTAAATTAGAAAAGAAAAAGGAGTGTGTGTGGGCAGGGCAGGCTGCTTGGCCAAGCCCTGAGAGGTTAAAATCACTGGAAATCACAGGAAATGCTTAACCTACCTGGTTTGTCACTGTCAAGTGGCTCCCCTCCACACCAGACACACACACACATAAACATACACAACTGCAGTAGACTGACCTCTTTGAAATTGTCAAAGGCAGCAAGAATTATTTCATGACCTCCCCGCACCAAACACACAGCTGCCAGGAGTTCCAAGACAAGGGCTTTGGTCCTAAGAGGTGAATAAAAAAGATTAACACCCTAACTCCTCACCTTCTCCCTATCCTGGCCATCACACTTGTTTTCACAATAGGGTGAGTCCTTTCTGTACTCTCAGAAAGGAGAGAGGAAGGGGTGGGTTTGGGAAAGAAGGCAGTGGAAGGAAGGCTTCTGCCCTCACTAAGCTGAGGGAAGCCAGAGACACTACTTTTCCAGCAGAGGTGAGGGGAACAGATCAGGGCTCTGAGGCAGCGACAGGACCTAAAGGCCAGGCAGAGCTTCCTGTCAGGGCAAGCAGAGCCCAGACCTTCAGAGTCCTGGGCCAGGAAAGTGGAAAGGAGAGGGAAGCAGCTTACCTTGGGTTCTTATTGTTGAGACTGAGCGCAATCTCATTGACAGCATGGGGGTGGGACATGACCAGGTTGAATCCATACTGCAAGAGGAAAGGACAGAATGAAGGGAGACAGTGATGGTGGGGAAGGGAGATCCCATGGGACTTCCTTGCCTGTAGGCTCTCCAGCAAGCCTGCCTTTTACAAGTGAGCGCTCGCCTAGCTCTCCTGCTCTGGCAGAGAAGGTTGAGCATCAAAGCCTAGTGCCACCCCTTTACCTGATAGTTCATGATGGCTCTGAGACACAGGATGCAGACATGGACGTCATCCTTCTGGCTCACCAGGCGGGAGTTCTTCAGGGCCCTGCGCCCTGGGAGAGTGCTGTACCTGGGGGAGAGGGAGCCAGGCAGTGAGGGAGTATAGCTTAGGCTGCTGGAAGTGTCCAGGAGCACTCACCATCACACAGACAGCACACTGCCCCTAGCAACAGTGTAAGATGGAGAATGGGGACCATGGACCAACAGCCCAGAGAGACAAGGTGCAGACAGTTGGGCAGTCAGTCCTGGAACAGGTCTCTGTCAGCAATTACCCAGGGTCCTGGCTTTACAACCAGTGCCCAAGCCATCCTAACTCACAGAGATCCTCTAACAGACTCAAAATATAAGCAGTAGGTGTTTCTGGTCCTGGAAATGGCTACAGACACGTTCTCCTGAGCCTTCCCTCCTCCCACCTCTCGTTGCTGCATCTTGCACACACTACCTGGGGCGCGAGCACCTGGCTGGCATCTCACTTGGACACAGAACAGATCCCCAGAGGGCTATATCTGATTTTGTACTCCCTCTGCCCCCTCAATGATGCTTCATGAAAAAAGTAGGAAACACAAAATGGTATCTGCTCATGCATGACTGAGGAAACATGACTAGAATGATGAGCAGTGTCAGAGGGACACAACCCAAAGTGGAGTAAGAGAAAAGTATGGACACGAGAGAGACAGAGACCAAGGGAAGGGCCACCGGACCCTGGGTAGGAAGGAGTTCTGAGAAGTCATCTGGTCCATCCAGCTGCCTCCAGGCAAGATGGTGCTTAAGACACTGCAGACAAATGAACACAATGCAGCCTTGGAAAGAAATGGCCTAAAGGAAGACAAAGCAAAGGGAGGCAAAGGACAAGCAGGTTGGGTAGGAGTTGACCTCCGAGCAGTGGATAGAGCAGAGTGAAGAACCAGAGGGAGACAGACATGAGGGCAAGAACTGGATCACCCAGAGAAGACCAAGGAGCTGTGTGAGGACAAGCCACTGTCTGAGAGGCCTGGGAGGAAGGGCAGTGAGAGTAAGGAATAGAGGGGCACCAGAGAGGGAGCGAGGAAAGGCAAGAGCTAGGACCCCTGATGGGGTGGACACAGCCAAGGACTATGTACTTACCCAGGACAGATTGCTGGGCAGTCAAGGAGACAGAGAGGACAGACCAGAGAGAGACTGGCAGGCAGAGGGCAAGAGAGCTGAGCCTGGAAGCAAGAGTGGTGAGAGGCGCATGAGCACTCACCGCTGCTACCCAAGGTCTGGACGGGGGGGGGCAGGGGTGGAGGCAGGCGGGCACAGCGAGCACACACATACCGGAGCACAGACTGGCGCGCAGAGCGAGCGAGGCTGTTGGTGAAGGGAGCCGACAGGGCGCTGGGTGGCTGCAGGTCCTCGATGGACCTGCTCCAGGACCGGAGCTTGTCAAATGCACCATCATCACTGCTCTCCAGACCCTCAAAGTCAAACCTGGAGCATGAAAGGACACACATGCGCACACACAGGCACATACACAGAAGAAACTCAGTGCCAAGCCCCCCTGGCCAGCCCTCCCCAGCCTTAGGCCTCTAAGAAGCAAGGGTGGCAAGAATAGAGAGCAGAATTGGGCAGCAGAGCCCTAACCCTGGTCAGACAGTTCCAACACAGGACTGGGCAGAGCAGGACAGAGACCAGAAGGGGATCCGATGAGGTGGGTGTTGATGGAGGCCAACTCCTCTGCTCCCACTGGCCAGGCGACTCCAGGAAGAGGGCCTCTTATGGGTTTAAAGGGACATGGGGGCTGGCAGGCTTTCTGAATTCCCAGCCTCGGAGGGACTATTTCAGAGGAGCTGTGGCTCCACTGGAAAATCTGCCCCATGGAAGGGTGGTAGGGAATGCGCCAACAGTGGTCTGGGTAGTTGGCAAATGGCAGCAGCCAGAAGGGCCTTTCAGTGCCCTGAGGGCACCTACTTGGGTCTGAACTGGCTCATGAGGGCAGATCTGAATGGAAGGAAATGGGGCACCTGGCAAACCCATAGTAGGGCAGTTCTCCGTGTTCAGGAGGACCACATGGCCGCATCCTACCACTGAGTTTCAATGACCAGGTTTTATGTGGTCCTAGCTACTTGAGACTTCTAGGTTTTTCTGATATAGTGGCTCCATGGGCTTCAGCTTCCCCAGGGGAAGAAACTACAGGTCAAGAGCTGAACTGGGGTTCTGTAGGCTAATTCCTTCAGGATTTCAGATGGCTTCTCTGTCACTTCCTGCTTCTAGGAGCTGTTGTTGTTGTTGTTATTTGCCATCGAGTCGGCCCCGACTCATAGCGACCCCTCCTTGGGTTTCCAAGGCAGCATCACTACGGAAGTAGGAATGCCCAACCTTCCTTCCGAGGAGTGGCTGGTGGGTTTGAACTGCCAGCCTTCTGGTTAGCAGATGTAATTAAATGAGCAGTTGGTGAGTGTGGCCAGGCCACAGAAGGCAAGCCATGGACACAAACCCGCATGGCCTTGTTCCTTCCACATGCCACATCAGGGTACGTCTGCCTCTGAGAATAAGCCCCACTGCTCTTTCCTGTCCTTCTTCTCCTTGTAAGTCACTGAGGACTGAGTGAGCATCTCCTACAAGTTCTTCTTCCCAGGGAGCCTTCTGCTTAGACATTCACAGCTCTGGGATCAGAAGGCACAAAGGCTGAGGCTTTCTAAAATAGAAAGTGACATCTATAGATGCCCAAATGTTCCAAAGTTATGGGATGATTAGGTGGTGTTTAATGGGGCTCTCAAGCAGACATTAAAGGAATCCCTCTGACAGGGACAGCTTGCCAGTGACTTCCCTCTGTCAATATAATATTCCCTAGCCCTAGTACATAGGCGCTCTGGTGGCACAGTGATTAAAGCATCTAGCTACTAATTAAAAGGTCAGCAGTTCAAACCCACCAGCCCCTCCATGGTAGTCTGATGTCGTAAAGATTTACAGCTTTGGAAACCCTATGAGGCAGTTCTACTCTGTTCTGTAGGGTCACTATGAGTTGGTATTGACTCAATGGCAGTGGGTTTGAGTTTTTTTTTTGTTGTTGTTGTTGTTGTTAGCACTGGTGCATGCAGTTTACAAATAAACACCTTCACGCAAAACTCTATTTGGCTCAGTCTTTCCTCTCTCAATCCTTCCCCAAACATATACTCTCTTTTTTCTCTAAGTCTTTCTTATACTTGGAAGGTGCTGCCATGGACACTACAATATCAAGGTTCCAGTATGTTTTTGGTTAAAGCAGCTGGGATGTATTTACTTTTCAAATAAGAGAGAGAGGCTTATTTGGAAAAATGATCTGCATCTTTTTACTATAAAAGCTCTGAATTTAAAAAAAAAAATCACTTTGGCAAATGTTTTTCATTTCTTTCTATCAAAAGAGTAATTTTTAAAGGGATAGGAGGATCATGAGGCATGTAGCGAAGGAAGCAGAGAATGGCTATTCTTTGGTTTTAACAGGGAATGACCTGTAAAAGGTGACAAAACTAAGAGAGGCTTTGGTTTGAGCCCCTAAGGATATGAGAGTAAAGGGCTGCTGGACGCTGGAGAATGGCCAAGGGAACAGAGAGTAAGGAAGTCAAAGTCTGATCTAGGGCTGAGTCCTCGGACAGAGGGGTTTCCCAGTGGGAGGGGCTTGCAGCACCAAAACTGTAAAAGTCAAGGGCAAACCAGGATGGATTGGTCTCCAAGTTATGTCTTGCATTATAAATCTGAATGTCAGTCATTCCTGAATTATCACTAGAATCCCTCTTTCCTATATGTCAGGGTCATTAAGATGGTATATGTAGGTCACCTTGAATAATAATAACAATTAAGAACAAAGCAGCGACCACAGTGTAGAGCTAGTATGTTCTGAACACTGAGTGATTTACACACATCATCTCATCCAATCCTTACAACAACCCTGGAATGTATATCTCCTTTTACAGAAGAGGACACAACCTTGCCTGAGGTCACACAGATAGTAAAGGACAGAAGTGAGACCCAAACCTGGTTTTGTCTGATTCCAAAGCCCTCATTCTTCCCCCAAACTACATGCCCTCCTGGCTACACCAACTTGCTCCCAGCTGCCTCCAAGCTCCCAACCTGAAGGAGGCTCCTGGATGCTTCATTTTCAGCCCAAGTCAAAGGTCATGCTCATAGCTTCTGGGGCTCTTCTTGAACAACCACCTGGAGTAAATCTCACATCTGCAGATGTGAGCTCCTAAGGGAGCTTCCTGAAGACTCAGCTTTCCAAAGGGAATGAATTCCACCTGGGCATCTCTCCCAGAAGCCAGGACATTTCCTGAGATTGTTTACAGCCTGGTGTTCGGATCCTTTGGGTTCTGACTCCAAGATTCCTGACCACATCTCTTTCCCCCTGCTTCCCAACACTGGCCTTCTACTCCAGCCAAGTGCATTCTTCATTGATCCCCAAACACCCCTTGACTTGCCTGTCCACTTCCACATCTCTGTCCAGTCTACTCTCTCCCTTCCTGGGATTTCCATTCCCACCCTCACCCTTGAATTGAAATCTCACCCCTCCTCCTCAGATTAGAATAAAATTGTGCCCTGCTCCACCCCTCCCTACCCTCAGGTGGTACTCACATGACAGAACATTGGGCAAAGGACAAGTAATCCACCAGCACATCCAGGCCTTTGTTTTCATCATTCAGAAACTCCCGTACCCATCTGCAGACAAAACAAACGCAGTGGAGGGAGCCTGTTGAAGTGGATCAATAGTGAGGAGGGCAAGGGGCCTTTGACCCAGCAACACCTTCTCCCAAGTTCCTCTGGGGCTTAGCACCAGCCTGGGAAACTCCTGGAGATCAGAACCCATAGCAAACCCATCCATGGTCTATCACTGGCCTGGACCTCCCCTAGACAGGGGAGCCAGGGAAAGGTAAAAGCATAGGCTGCTCACTTTATCATGAAAGTGTTCCAGCAAACAAGCTACCATGTACTCCCTCCTTAAGGACCACGGCCCTGGGTCAAGCGTTTCCTCTATCCCTGGTGTCCACATGGGGCTAGGCACCTTATTCTTGCTCAGTGTTTGATGGAGAAACTGGGGAGATATTAAGAGCATTCACACAGGTCCTGAAGAGCTGTGCTGAAATATGCTTGACAGACGCCAGCAGGTCCCCAACTTGACTAAAGTCTCAGTCAAGACACACCCAGGAAGGGATACAGAGAGAGCTCTGGCCAAAGAGAGGCACATTTGACCAAAGGGCTCTCCACCGAGCCCAAGGAAAGTGTTTTGGGAAGTAGTGAGCAAAAAGGGATGTGTGGAAGTTCTGTGTTAAGCCAGTCTATGTGGCAGAGCGAGGCAGGCTGGAGAAGCAGAAAGGGCTCAGGTAACTCTACAATGGCTGTGACCACTCCGAGTCAGATGGAGGACCTGGACCCCTCCCCTCCCAGGAGGCAAGCAGGTAGGCATATGGTAAGGTACCTGATGATAATATACTAGGCTACTTGCCCCCTTCCATCACTTTCATACTGAGATATCCCTGGAATAAAAGTCAAGGGCAAAGCCTGGAGGACTCTTATATGACAGGTTCACCTCACAGTACAGAGACAAACTCTCAAAATCAAACTCTTACTCTCTTGAGTGCTCTATTCCCTCGAATGTCTGGGGGTCTTTATGGACCCGCTGCGTCCAAACTGCCCTCCAGGGCCACTTCTGTCCTGCAGTTAGAACACAGTGCCATGTCTGCTGGCCACACCCCAAGCTGCAGAGTGGGCTGGAGCTGACCACCAGGCTCAGCTGAGATTTGGCAGCAGGCAGCGGCTGAAGTTGACTGACACCGAAGCTGCCTGAAGTTAGCTTCCTCTCTGGGGGCTGACAGGCCTCCCGTTTCCTGTCTGTCTGCTCTCCAGCTCCCCACCCCCTTCTCATTTCCTGTCTGAGTCTACACTGCTATTCTGGGGATCTTGACACTTGGAGGAGAGGTGAAAGGGCATTTAGGCAAGGCAGAAAAACCAATACAAACCAGGCAGAGAGGAGTGAGCGGGTGAGGCTCTGGAATCCCACTTCCCACCCCCAACCTCTCCCCAAAGCCTGAGCTCCATCCTGCAGCCCCTATACACTCAGCTGCTACAGGATTGGGCTAAGCTGGCAGTGACCAGGGGGGAGCTTCCTCTCCTCCCCTAGCTCTGGTTCCTACCACCTTGGAGCATCCACATGCCAGCCTCACAAGCTCATCCTCCCCAGAAATCCAGGAAGGATCCTGGTCCTCCCACATAAATCTACCCAGAGAAGCCAGAGTTCAGATGTCAGGGGATTCTGAAATGCCAGTGCTGAGCTGTTCCCTGGGAAAGGACCAGCTCCAGACCTCTAACTTGTGTGCCAACTGCCAAGAGGCCCTGGGCCTGGGAACCATGCTGCTCTGGCCCTAGCTGCTGGCCAGTGGCCAGAAGGGCAGGCACCAGGTAGGAGGGGCGCGTAGAAGGGACCGTTACACACTGCTCTGTAGTCATCCTTCCAAGAAGAGGGGACCTCCACCCCCACTACAACAGGACTTAATAGAGAAGACAGAGGAGGGCCGCTGAGGCGGGGAGGAAAGGCCTATGGGATAACGCAGGGTTGGGGAGTGTGTTCACAGCTGCCAGCTATGCCATTCTTGCCTTCACACACAGGGCAACTGAGGAGGTCCTGCTAGTTTTTCCTCCCATGAGGGATTCACCAAATAAAGGTGGAGGTTTAGGCACACATTTCCCAGTGGCTTGGCTTTTAATGTCTGGTTCACTGATAAAGTATGGCAGCCATACTCCAAGCGTAGCTACTGAAGTCAGGAACCATCCCTTTCCTGTTCCCTCTTATGCTATTTCCCCTGACTGCTGCTGCTACAGCTGGCTACATACAGGTGTCCCGCACCCTACACAAGAGCTCTGGGCAGGCTCGGCCTGGGAGTGGTTGCCGTGAGCAGGAGGGGAAAGGCTAATGATGTCATCTGGCACTTTCCACTCCTGCTCTCAGGAAGCCCAGGAACCTGGGGCTGGCACCTACCCAGAACCTCTGCCCCCACCCCAGGGTTGCCCTAACCATTAGGCTTTTGACTTTCACGGTAGGCCTCTCTGTCAGGACGTACCCCTGCCTGCAGATGCCAGGTGTCCCTCACTGTCTTTGGCACACGTGCGTGTGCATGCACGCACACACACACTCTCTCTCTCTCTCTCTCACTTTCATTACACGTACCTTTGTTGGTTACAGTTTTATAAACTACAGCCACTGTCCTCTTTCACTACGTGCTTCACACATGAACCCCTCTGCTTATTCAGCAAGCCCTGATTCTTCACTCAGAGGCTGGAAAAAAAGACTCATAACGTTCCCAGGGGCCTTGGCAGTGGGTTGGTATCACCAAGGTCTGTGAACTCAGAAGTCATTCAACTCCTGGTCCCCACTACCCTAGATCTGCTTTCCTAGTGCCTCAGGATGCTTCTTCTGCTGATTAACTAAGATTGCCTTCTTCCAAACAAGCAAACAATCCTTCTGGGCACTGAACAGTCCAGGAACTAGGCCTTAGCTTCCCAGTGTAATCTGTTTCCCTGACTCCCAGCTTTCTTTAGGCCTCCCCTGGCCCTATCCCAGGCCACAGACTGACTCTAGTCTTAGCTTCTGTGGGAATATCTTCCACTCAAAGCTACAGGCTGAGAACCCTAGGAGAGGCCCCAAGCTTGCCAGCAGCATCCAGTCAGCAGCTGGCAGAGGTGATAGGGAGAAGAGCCAGCAAAATGAACAGTCTGAAGCTCTAGGGAGCTAAAAACCATTTAAGGGGCAACTGTGTCCCAGGGTAGAGAGCATCCTTGGAGGATACCAGATCCTGTGTGGCCAGACAACTGCTTGGGGCCAGGTGAAGAGGCTCTGACGGCCAAATCCAACTCACCCAATATGGTTGGTACGAAGTGAGATCTCCAGCTCCCTTAGTACTTTGGTTGACTCCTGAACTCTCCTCCTGAACTTCTGTAAACATTGAATTTTTTGTCACTGATGGGGGTCCCCAATCCAACTTCATGGTACAAACAAAAGGGGTAGGAAAGGAAAGGGAGGGGATGCAAGAGTACAGCCAAAGGCCTTCTCCTCACGATGTGCCAGCCACTCTAGGCCCGTAGTCTCAAGACTCAGAAACTCAACTCCCATTGCTCAGAAGCAGGTGTCCCACCACCAAGAGAAAGGGTTTGCCCCAGACCCCATAAAATGATAAAAGGCAGCAAAGCCAGGCCACCCAGCCTCACACGTTACCTTCCGAGTTACACTGGGGTCCAAGAAGCTCTGGAGTTTCTGGATATAAGTGTGGGGAGGATTCTTCACCTGGAATCGTTCCTGTAAGGGAAACACGGACATGTGTATATGCACAGACACCCAAAGTAATACAAAGGGTGTTCAGTAAGCAGAGCCCTCAGAACGTTTGTGGTGAAGGAAACCAGCCCCCAAAGTTGCTGCCTGGTCCTTAACACGGCCATAGGTTCCCCTCTTGACTTATCCTCAAGTGTTTCCCATTTGTTATGCCCATCTCCTCCAATTAATGCTCCTTGTGCCTAAAATGTTCTTTCATATCAGAAATCATTTTAATAGTGATGGCTGTATAATACTGTTAATGTAATTAATGACACTGAATTATATACTTAAACACAGTTAAAACCGCAAATTTTGTTATATATATTTTACCACAATAAAAAATAAACCATTTTAAGAATCTGCTCCTTGCTTAGAAGACGTAAAGATTACAGAGCTGGAATGACCCCCAAAAAAGACATGCTTGGGAAGGTTGTTCACTGCCTGGACAACTGATGGACAGAAGGCTAGGAAGGATGGGTCAAGGTGAGCAGAGTTTGGCTTTGAAGAATCCAGGTTTTTCATCCCTGAACTGACAGTTGGGACTGGACTGGTTTTGCAGACTTAACACAGTTCAGGGCTGCAAAAACAGTTTCTTCTTCTTACTCAAGCCCACCCCAAGCCCCAACAATCCGAAGCAACCTCAAATGCTTAGGAGTGCATTCACTTAGGGGACATTAACATCCTGCTAAGGATGATGGAAAAATCTGGGTATGGTGGTGGCTGAACAACAGATGAAGACATTTCATTTCACTGACTTGTATATATGAGGATTGCTGAAATGGCAAATGTTCTACTTGTCACAATAAAATATGTATATATACAAATATATATATTCAGCAAATACCCTCTCTACCCACTTCTACACAGAGCATGGACCCAGGGCTGTCCCACTCCCCAGGAGCTGGGTGGGACTTCAGGCTTCAGAGATCATTGGGCCTCATCCCTTTCATCTGATCCAGAAGGAAACTCAGGGCAAATGTTGAAGAATTCCGGTCCTATAAGTGAGATATCCAAGGAGATAGAGGGCAAAGGGGCTGGAAATTATGCAAGAAAATGGTATAGTGTTGGAAAATAGCACCTAGAAACAAACTGAAAGAAAAAGGAAGGTACGAGAAAGAGCTGAAATCATGCACCCTGGAAAAGATGGCAAGGTTATCAGTTAATAAACCTCAATGCCCAAGGCCTCCTGTTCTCCAAACCCCAAGCAGGTGCAGGTGCTCATGAAGTCCTCTTAGTGCAGAACATACTAGAGAAGAGACTTGGACTAGGATTCCTAGCTTAGGTCAACTGCATCACATAAACCAAACTTAGGGCCGTCGAGTTGGATCCGACTCATAGCGACCCCTCCCCTTGGGCTTCCAAGGCAGTATCACTACTGAAGTAGATTGCCCAGTCTTTCTTCCGCGGAGCGGCTGGTGGGTTTGAACTGCCAGCCTTTTGGTTAGCAGTAAAATGCCTTAGGCACTGGACCACCAGAGCTCCCTTCAAATCTGACTCACAGCGACCCCTCCTTGGATTTCCGAGGTGCCAGCTCTATGGAAGTAGATTGTCCAGTCTTCCTTCCTCCAAGTGGCTGGTGAGTTTGAACAGCCAGTCTTCTGGTTAGCAGTCAAATGCCTTAGGCACTATGCCACCACAGCATCACATGGGGAAGCCTCATAAAGCAATGCTGAGCACACAGACTTGGAGTCGGCCTGCCTGAGCCCAATCTCGGCTCTATCACTTACCACTGTTGGGCAAGTTAGCAAGCCTTAGCGTCTTCAACTATACAATGAACAGTGCCTTCCTCACAGGGCATTTGTGAGCATTAAATTAGATACTTCAGTATACAGAGAGTGCTTCATCCATAAGGTGTCTCAATAAATGTTTGGATCCGACTCATAGTGACCCCTTATTGGGTTTCTGAGGAGTTATCACTACGGAAGTAGATTGCCCAATCTTCCTTCTGAGGAGTGGCTGGTGGGTCTGTTAGCAGTCAAATACCTTAGGCACTACACTACCAGAGCTCCTGTTTGGTTTTGGGTTTGTTTTTGGTCCATGACAAGTCTCAATAAATGTTAGCTATTATTATTTTGTTCAGATCTTGAAAAGAAACAAAAATTAATTTGTGCAAGACACTATTTACAATAGCAAAAAGATAGAAACAACCTAGGTGCCCATCAAAAGAAGAATGGATAACCAAACAATGGTACATACACACAATGGAATACTATGCAACCCTAAAGAACAACAGAGAATCTGCAAAACACTGCATAACATGGATGAACTTGGAGGACATTATGCTAAGTGAGATAAGTCAATCACAGAAGGACAAATACTGTATTACTTTGTTACTGTAAAAAGTCAAGGAAAGGTTTATATATGAAAGGATATTTTCTTTGTTGGTTACCAGGGATGGGAGGGGAGGAGAGGGAACACTGCTAGATAGGTAGAGACAAGTATTGATTTGGGAGAAGAGAAGGGCAATGTACCAAATGTCAGTGATCAACACGGTGGCACTGAGGAAGAGGAAGACATAGAGAGGTGCATGGGAGATACAGACAACATAGACGAACCCTTTTGTACATACAGTACTGTGTTGTCAGTGATGTCAAACATTGATCTACGGGTAGAGAGATGAGTGGACAGGCTGAACGATTAAGTATGTCTATGTATGGTATGCATGAGTGAGTGTGCCCATAACCATGTATAGAGTTGGCAGACAATGTTTCTACAAGTGTATTTGTATATTCTGTAAGAATTTCTAGGTATACAGTAGAGCTGACAAAGGACAAGGTTGTAGTCACTTCTTGACCACAGCCAGCTACCCAGAGGAAACAAGTAGTTGGACCTGTGGGCTCAGGACCATGGCTGCAGGGGACATCAAGCTCAACTGGCATAACATACTACACAAAAATAGTGTCCCACATTCTTCTTTGGCAAGTAGAAACTGGGATCTTAAAAGCTTGCAAGCAGCCATCAGGATGCAACGATGGGTCTCTCCTTGTCCAGAGCAAAGAATGAAGAAAACCAAAGATGCGTGGAAGCAACTGGTCCAAGGGACTGACAGACCACGCGATCCTGAGCCTATATGACTATGAGACCAGAACTACATGGTGCCTGGCTACCGCTGTCAACCACTTGGAGGGGGATCTATTAGGAGATCCTGGATAGAATGGGAGAACAATGTGGAACAAAACTCAAAATCATTAAAAGAAAAAAAGAGGGACCAGGTTTGCTGGTCTGATAGAGACTGGTGAAACCCCTGAGACTATGGCCCCTAGCTGCCCTTCAGGTCTGGAATTGAACCTACTCCTATGGCTTCCAGCCAAACAAAAGACAGGCATATAAGCTGAACATTTACGTTAGGTAGATACACTCCTTGGAGAGATCAATCATGGGAGAACAGAAGGGCTGTGTATGCACAGGGAGACAGCTTGGGGGGCAGGAGTGCATGGGAGGGAAGGACAGAGGGAAGAGGTGGCTATGGGAAGGAAGTGGGAGGAGAGGTATTGCACTGTGGGAGATTACAGTCAATGTCATGAGACACAGTGTATGTGAACTGCTGTATGGAAGATGAATTTGCTCTGTAAACTTTCACCCAAATCACAATAAAATTAAAAAATAAAAATTAATTTGTGTATGACAAAGCTCCATGGCAAAGTGCTGGGTAAATGCACTTGCCCCACTCTGTGCCATGTACTTCTATGCCTATCAAGAAGGGAGGAAGTAAAAGCAGATGCTCCTAGCCCTACAGGCAGCCTGGGTGAGTTCATGGACTCGTGATCTTCAAATGCATGCAGGGGAAGGATCAAGGCTATGGGTGCGAAAAGGTCTCACTTCTGAGCTAAGTAATGATCTCTACATTCTCTTCCAGCTCTAAAGACTAATCATGTCGGAAGAACTTCTAGTCCTTGATGGTTCTGAAATCTGTAATAGGATCCTAGGGGGCTGGTGCTTCCATTCCTAGAGCCCTGTAAAAATAGTGAGGAAAAACCCTGCTATTTGCCAGGTCAAGACACAGAGCAATAAATCACCCTTTGGAATACTCTGCCAGGCATAGCCCTAACTCTTGGGGAAATGGAGAAAGCAGTCCTGCTGGGAAAAATACCAAACTCCTCCACAGTTGACCCTACACCCCTAACCCACATAAAGTACTGTCATGCCACTGCCCATTGAGAAGGAATCAATGTAGCTCTTTGAGAGAGCCAGAGGGGAATTTGGGAGAATGACAGGTAATCTACCAGCACATCCAGACCTTTGTTTTCAACATTCAGAAACGTACACATGCACCACCCTGTTTCTGTTGAGAGTCCTCTTGGAACAGGAATAAACACAGACTGAAGCTGGGTACAGGGGCAGCCCGGACCAGGGTTCCTCATAGAACCCCAGGACTGCAGTCAACATCTTTGGCCCTGTTGCCATCTCCAGCCCAAGACAGAACTCCCCATCACCCTGACCTTTCCCACATGCCATACCTGGTCACAGATCAGATCCCACTTCTTCTCATTGTCGTACTGCCGCAGGAGCCGGGCCTTGTCGGGAGGCAGGTTCATAGAGCTCTGAGAAGAAAATCTGAGTCAAAAGAGCTAAAGCCTTGGATCCCACCCAGAGGACAGAAAGGTTAGACCTGCCCATACCCTTTCCCCTCCTTGGCCCTCAGACTTCACCCTGACACTCTATCTCTGATAAGGAAGGCTCAGAATGGTGCGACAGTCCTCCTGCCTCCACTTCATATTGAGTTGAGTTTGGTTGAGAAATGGTTTCCAAACTGTAGGTCATGGAATCAATTTAGTGAGTCAAGATTAACTTCATTTTAAATGAAAACAGAATAAAACAGAACACAATAGGACAGAAAATACTAGTGTTCACTACAAGTAAAAAACACAAACTCACTGCCATCTACTCATAGCGACCCCCTTTGGGTTTCCGAGGCAGTAATCTCTAAGGAAGTCTTTCTTCTGCAGAGTGACTGGGGGGTTTGAACCACCAACCTTCTGGTTAGCAGTCAAATGCCTCAGGCACTACACCACCAGAGGTCCTTGCAAGTAGTAAGGATAAACAGTGATTCGTGAAGCTTTTGTTGTTTTTATATTTTATATAAACACACACACAGGTCATATTGTAAAATGTATTTTTTAACATGGAAGAGGTCAAAAAGGTGCCTGTGCAGGAAGGTCACCCATCTCTCAGGTTGAAAGTAGCTGCTTTAAACCAAATCAAACCAAACCCACCACCATCAAGTCAGATCTGACTCACAGTGAACCCTCCTTGGGTTTCTGAGTGGTATCACTACAGAAGTAGATTGCTCAACTTTCCTTCCCAGGAGTGGCTGGTGGGTTTGAACCACGAGCCTTCTAGTTAGCAGTCACATGCCTTAGGCACTACGCCACCAGAACTCCTATTTCCCCATACAAGTGAATGAGAAAAGTATAAAGATAACTGCTTCAATTTTTTAAGAAATAATTTCTAAAATTTCAGTACTTTATTAGTAGCCAATTATTTATGATACATCTACCTCCCAATTAACTGAGACACAGCAAAGTGTCCTGACCTTTTGTTGAAACATTCTAACGTGGTTTACGTTACAGAGCAGGAATCACTTTATTCTGTTCACTCCTGTTTATTAATGAATAAATTAATAAAAGTGCAAGGAAGTAAGTGAGCAAAGTCTAAGGCACCTATGAATGAGCCCCACCCATGCCTGGAGCCTAGTTTCCCCTTCCTCATCCCTCTCCAGCCAAGCCTATTTTCCAACCAGCTTGGGCTGCCTTTATTCCAGGTCACAGACCTGCCTCTAAAGGCAGTCTGATACTAATCAGACACTAGAACACCCCCCCCCAATCAAATATGATCTGCTACCTGAAGAATCACAGCCATGTGATAACCCACATGACTCCCCATAAATCCAGCTTCTTCCCCACGACACTGCAGACCACCGAGCAGACCCCTCTTCTCATCCTTCTCTCATCCACTTATTGCTCCAAGTTTAGCATGACCACTTGGTTTACCACTGCCCACTCCCTGACATCCTCATCCCTGGGGAAATGAATGGTGTGTGCCCAGGGTCTCCAAGGAATCACACAGGCCGTGCATTATTCCAGAAGCAACCAAAGTATTCTGGCTTTGTGGTTCCTCCATTTTCTAAGGAACTGAAAGAAAATCCTTAAACATTATTTATTTCTGTCATAGTTACCTATGTAATTAAGGAGCTCTGGTAGCACAGCGCCTAAGGCATTTGACTGCTAACCAGAAGATTGGTGGTTCAAACCTACCAGCCACTCCACAGAAGCAAGACTGGGCAATCTACTTCTATAAAAATTTACCGCCTTGGAAACCCAATGAGTTGGAATTGACTTGATGGCAGTGGGTTTGGTTTTTAGGGGTTTTACCTATTTTATTATACACTTATCTACACATATACTATGGTCTCTGGTGGCACAAACAGTTAAGCACTCTACTACTAGCTGAAAGGTTGTCAGTCTGAACCTACCCAGAGGCACTTCGGAAGACAGACTTGGTCATCTGCATATGAAAGGTCATGACCTTGGAAACCCTGTGGAGCAGCTGTACTCCACATACAAGGTTGCCATAAGTTGGAATCGAGTCAATGATAACTAATAAAACAATATAATATTACACTGTCCACTCATCCAGCCTCCACAGGGCTGTCTCTATTCTTATAGTCTCCATCCCTCCCATAATGTCTAATGCTGTGACACAGTCCTAAAGAAGAGTAATTTTGTGGTACAGCTATCTATCGTTAAGACCTCTCAGTTTCAAGCTATGGGCCCATGTACCAGCTGGAAAGAGGGTCACTATGGCTCAAAAAAGGAAGCAGGGTTGGGACCTCTGATAAGAGTTCAGAAATGGAAGAACTTAGGAATATAGAAGTGGGGTAGGTGAGAGAAGATGAGAATGAGAAGAGACCACCCTATCACCTCTCTCCCCATGAACTTCTGCTGCCCCTTGAATCCGCCAAAATTGCCTCAGGAAAGAGGGCTAACTGAACCTCCCTCCCCGCTTGCTGATGTAGTGTGGATGGGTGAACGGACAAATACAACCCTGGAACGTGAAAGTGGCTCCAGAGAGAACTGCTTTCCTGGGAGCCAATCTCAACATATCTGGGTGGAGAGCAGACAGGAGTGGGAGGCCTCAACAAAACAAGGGCCCAAAAGTCAAAGCCAGGCCCAGGGCAAAGTCTCCAGCCTAATGAGGTCCAGCTGCTGCCAGTCAAACCCAAATCAGAACTGAGAAAAACAGTCCTCAGGACTGGTTCCAGCTCCGAGCACATCCTGAGCATATTGCTGTCAACTACCCACTTCTCTCAAATTTGTACCACAAAAAGAGTTTTCTGTTGTCTCCCCTGGAAGAAAGCCACTGGGGAGATGGGGAAGGAAGTCTGTCACTTCTATGACAGACTTCTCATCCTGTCTACACCAACTTCGTCCCTTAGCCACCTCACTGTCAGCTGCTGTGGCCTCACACTTCCCCACAAGGTGAACTGGTGAGGAAATGCTTGGTCCCCTCTGGGCATCCAAGATAGAGCAAAACTACGCACTTTGGGAGCCCCAGTCTAAACACATAGAAAACACATCAGGGACCTGGCCGAACTTCAGGTCCTCAGGGATGATGAACCCCCAAGTACAGAAGTGAGTGACAGATGTCTAATCAGCTCTGACCACAGGCCTACATCCTCCAGTCTAGAGCTCGGTGGCACTTTCCGGAGAGTGACTACCAGCCTTCTGTGCTTCTTCACGGCTGAAGGGTAGTGGGGAAGGAAGTGGCTATAGGTAATTCCCCCAGCCTCCAGTGTTGTCACCAGAAACCGGCCATTGACTGCTGAGTGGGAACCACCAGTCAGGGAGGCAGGGCTAGGCTGGGGTGATTCTCTCCCTTCCTGGACAAAGGCCTCAGGGCTCTGTCTCCACCTGACAGGGTGCACTGGGTTAAGCAGGGCTCCAGTGTCCTAAGGAAGCCGCTCTGCCCTTAGGAAAAGTAACTTCCTGAGTTCGGGGCCAGCCAGGGAGGAAATCTGGCACAGTTCCGTTCTCGATCAATGGTTTGTTCTCCTTAACATTTTTCTTCAGTGGATCTAGCTATCTGCAGAGACTGTGGGCTCTCAGAAGGCAGGAACTGAGCTTTGTTCCTGCTAACTCCTTGTTGAAATCCAGTAGTTGGGCATACAGCTCAGAAGTTCAAGGTTTTAACCAAAAGTTTACCACCAACTTATTCTCCACTAGGAGCATGTCACAGTATTAGACATTATGAGGACTTGGAGAGGAAAAAAAGGAGACCATGGTCTTAGAAAGGAGAGGGTACTGAATGTGAGGCCAGAGGGCCTAGGATCAATTTTGGGCTGAACTCATCCATAAAATAGAGATAATCTTACTACTTCACAGGGCTTTGTGAGGATTAAATATTTTATGGCTCTATACATGTGGAACACTGATGGTGTTCAACACAGTTCCCTCCTCCCTCCTGAAAACCCTGGGTAACGTTCTGACATCCCAGGAACGTGGCCTCTTGCTTTGAGGCTGTCTCTGTATCTCTGGCACTGTCTCTCCTTCAGCAACTGCTTCTCAACACTCTTGACTATGGAGTAATCTCTACCTCTTCTCTGATCCCTCTCTAGCTTCCTCTAAGATGAGGAGACAATTTAAACACCACCTTCCTGGGGGGCAGACCCAAGGGAAGCAGTAAGGGCGAGAAGTCAAAGCTGGCACAGCCACAATGGGAGAAGGGAGGAGAAGGGAAAGATGAACTCAAACTGAAAGTAACTCTGGGACTGATTCCCAAATCAGAGGGAACCAGTGAGAAGTCTAATAATAAAAACTTATAACGGGAAGAAGCAGAGAGGGGTGGGTGTGATGCTTCTCCAACAAGGCTGCTCTGGTTTCCTGACAGTTTGAGGCCAGACAGATCCCTCTGCTCCGTGGCCAAATTCCGCCCGGGTTCTGTGTGAGCAAGGGCCCGACTCCTCCACGAGATGTCCTTCCTCTCACCTATCCCTGTGCCCCAGACCCGTCTGCCCCAGTGACGCCAAGGAGGAGGGCAGCTGCCCTGACTGCAGAGGATCCCTTCCCCTTCCTGCTCTGCACCTCAGTCCTGTTGGCCCCTCCTCACTTCCTTCCACCACAGGAGAAGGGAAATGCCGGCAGGGTTCGGAGCTTCCTTCAAAGCTGTGGTCCCTACTCTGGGACTCGCCCCTGACTCGGCCAGCCTTCTTGGGCCAGGCCTGGGGAAAACCCGACAAGCAGAAATAGGAACCACCAAAAAGTCCCAACTCTTTCTGTTGGGCCCAATCAATTAAGATGAATCTTAGGACAGAGACAAAAAGGGCACAGATCCTCTGAGAGAGACAGGGAGAGAGATGCCTGAAACTTTCCCCAGAAGGGGATTTTGGAGGCTTCAGGAAACATAAGTGGAAGTTGCTTATTTTGAGCAGATATAAAACATGAGTTGATAGTGCTATTAGCATTTTCCCCTCAGAACTGATGCCCCACTGCCTCCAAACACATATCTTATGGTTAGATACTTCTCCCAAGTGGGGTGGCCACAG